TCACCTAAAAAATCCACTGCGCAGGCTCGAAGGGGCAATGACCTTTCCCAAATCTTAGCTCGCGAAGACTGGCCATTATTAAGTCAACAGTCAGGGAACTCCTGAAAGCATGAAAGGCACTGGCCTGTGCAGGCAGCAGTTCCATGGGGACATCATTAACCTACTGTCCTTTCTTTTCCCCTCCTCTTTGGTTTTGTTTTTTTGTTTCGTGGTAGTCTGACCCTTGGTTGTCATTGCAGAACTATGGAGGTGCCATGAGACCCCCACTCAACGCTTTAGGTGGCCCGGGGATGCCTGGGATGAACATGTAAGCACAATAATAACTCTTACACTATCTAGAAAATGTCATTATTTCGCTGTAGAAGTATCATTTGCGATAGATCAGACGAGGATAACATGCTTTGATAACTAATAAATGAAATTTTAAGAACTGGACTCAGAGTCTCTCACAGGAAGCTTTGCTGTCCCAACAAGTCTGTACAAATACTCAGTTTCTTTCACAGATCAGACTTCAAATATTGGGAATATTTTGTCAGTATAATCACTGAAGAACGCTACAACTATGGCTCTTCTCTGCAAAATAAATCAGTACTTAATTTTAACAAAATAGCCATTGTCTAGAACTATTAAAAAAAAGTACATTTGAAAGAAGTGGTGATGATTCTTTCTCAATTGCTGTTTTTATTTCCATAACTACATTAATTTCCCCTCTAAACAGAAGAGCTTTATAGATATGAGTATATTTTTTTCAGTTTTTCTGTGTTGTTCTGGAGCTGGATCATCATCTGGTAAAAATTTAACAGAATTCAGTTAAGCCGTACTGATTTATTCCAGGCACTGGTTTAGCCATGGGATTGTATTATGCCTTTTATAACTGAAGACAACCCCCCTTTCTAATTGTGTAGAAATACTTCAGATGTAAAATAAGGAAAACACAGTGATATGCTTTTTGTCATTATATCGTAGACACCCATTTTTTCTCTTGTGTTTATAGAAAACATAAATAAAAAATTGTAATTTTCATTTCAAGTAGACCTATCAACTTGAGAAAGTAAAAGAGGCGTTGAGATTGATAATAACATTAAAAAAGAATAAATCTAATCCACCATATTCTTAATTTATTCTGGTTTCTAGACATGCCTTGAGTTCTTGAAGTAAAATCTAAAGTTGTGTGTTACTCCTATCATAGACATTACATATGGGACTCAAGTAATTCTAGGAGCCTTCTCAAGAGTAGGCATTTATGCTTTTAAATTAAATTGATGTAAAACAGATATTTAGATATTTGAAATTCAGTGTGAGTGTAGAATAAGCACTATAGAGGATTTCCTCAGCAGAAGTCTGAATTATAAGAAAAGAAAATTAACTTCCCAAAATAAAATGTCGTAGAAGTAAAACTGAGGATAGATAAGATATTTTGAAGGTATTTGTCCACATAAATGAGAGTTTACATAGGAAAAATAAGAAAAGAGGTTTCTGGATGACAAGAATTCCTGGCCTACCAGAAACAGAGAAGATTCATGGAAATGCTAATGTTGCAGCATTTAATAAGCACATTCCATCAAACAGCGGAGTTGCTGTGATCTGGTTTTCTTTAAATTGTATTTTCGGGACACCACGGTTTTTCAGATTTCAGTTAACACTGAAATTTCAGTGAAGACTCGTTGTCTGGTCAGTTCCAGCATTCAGGATCAGAGTTCATCAAGGATGGCCCATGGGCAGTGGCAGTGGACGGACGCAGCTGTACTAAATGTGTTCTCTGTTTTATCCCTTACAATTTATCTAACGGTTAGTGCAGGAAACAACAGTGTGAGTCATTTAGGGAAATTAAAATTCCAGGAAAAAGGAAAACTGCACATAAGGGCTGTTGCCTTTTAGTAACCTACAGTTGTCTTTACATACCTGTGTATTTTCTTTACATGGCAATTTTCACTCTTCTTTTAATGTTTTTGGACTTCTGGTAGTGTTAAAATCCAAAAATGTATGCCTGCAGAAAAAGCTGCCATTTAAAAATCCAGCCTTTTCTTCTTGGAAAGCTCAAAAGGAAGCTGCTTTGGTCAAGAGCAGACCATCTGCCAAATATAATTGTACATTTTTCTGGGTGAAAAAGTGTCCTTTGCTGTTGAAAATGGCAGCCTGGGGGCTCATAGACAGCATTTCAGTCCATGTACTCCACTAGTGCAGCACTCCTAAGTAATTTTTTCCTCTGTCATCAGTAATACTGTCAGATTTCTGTTTGAAACAGAAAAACCCATGTTTTTCTGCAGAATAAGTTTATTTTATCTTTAAGTTTTTAAGCTAAGATTTGATGTAGCTGTTTTTAGAAAAATGTCATGTCTTTGTGGGGGAAAAAAGCGCCATTTTTTGGAACGAAGAGGCAGATTTCAGGGAGCAGTGTTACGTTTCACTGGTGCTTTCCTTGTGTGACCTGCAGTGCTGTCTCAAGCACTGAGAATATCTCTGTCATGCCTCAAAAAAAAAAAAATGTGATTTTGTCTTTTTACTTCAATTCACAAACTTGTGTCTGGATGTTTAATTTCCTGATGGAATATATTTGCCTCTTGGGAAACTAAAATTTCAGATTTTTATTTTTCTAAGCACCAGGATTGACAAGACAGGACAACTAAGCTGAAATTGGTCATAGTGGTAAATACTTCATTAATTATTTTGGAATTGGTACATTTATAATAATGTTTCATGACTCTGCTTCCAAAATAAACATTTACTGAAGGGCAAAAGACCTGCTTGCCTTGGATTGAAAAAAACTGCAGGTTGGGGTTTTTTCAAGTGTGTTTTGTAAGCATTTGGCTCCACAAAATCCATATGGCTTTACAGCAGAATCTGCTGCAGTGATTTTTGTGTCTATTCTGAGACCTGGCCAATAAATTCGAAAATTCCAATGGCTTTTTAGATAAAAGGTGAGTTTTCTGGTCTAGGGGTAAATTCCTAAATTTATCTGAGTTACTTAATTGGCACAGAAACAAGTGCAGGGTTTTGAGGTGAAAACAGACTTTTAAGTGTTGTTACAAATATTCCTGATTTCTTTCTCTGAGAGGATCCAATAAACCAAATAAATGTAGGAAAAAGAACAATGAGGGGGGGGAATTAAAGAACAGTAATATTTCACCATCTCATGTTAGCATTGGAGAAATTGCTGAATATTTGACATGAGAAGTATTTCCTCCCAATTAATAAGGCAGAAAAGACCCTCACCAACATTCCTGATTTCCAACATTCCAACAATAATACCAGTGGAAATAAATCAGTTTTCAGTTGATTTTTTTTCTTTTGAGGTAATTCCTTTATAGTTTCATCAACAGTGTAATAAAAAAAAATACGATTAAGTATTAAATCCCTCAGGCAACATAGGCACTTAATAGTTTTTAGTTTTGGAAGACCTAAAAAAGGGATAGGAAACTGTATGAACTCATTAATAAGGTGTGATTTTTTTCTCTCTGTTTAAATCACTCCCCCGTGCTGGTGAGCTGTGGTGGTTAATGTTGCTTTTCTACAGCTAATGAGGCCAAAATGCCATTTTAAATGTGGAAGTTTTGTCATCTGCTCTGTTGTCACGGCCTTCAAGAAGTGATTCTGTCTTGTTTATAAATAACGAGAAGCTCCTAATGCTCCCAGAAATAATTATGGTTCCTGTGACTGTAAATATGGAGATTTTACCTCTTGTGTGGCTTTAGTTCCCTCAGGATTGTTGAGAGATGAAGCCTCACCGCCAAACTATTTTTCTGAGCTCAGCTGAGAGTGAGAAACTTATAAAAACAGCAAGAATTGTGAGAAAAACATTCTCAATCTGAAGAGTTTTCTGGTTTTAATAAATAAAATTTATTATTGTTGTGGTGATTATTATCATTATTACTGGATAATTTTTTTTGTTGTTTTTACCATCATCATCATCTAGGGGCTATACCAACATATTTTTCATGGCCTGTTCTTTTATAAATTAGGTGTTCTCAAAACATGTCTCATATAGCATAATTTTATATTTTATTTTTATTTTATATTTATTTACATTTAATGTATATATTTATTTTTTAGTGTTACTTATTGCTATTTCTATTTATTTTATAATATATATTATATATAATATATAATAATGTAATTTTCTCTTTTATGTAGCATATTAATAGCATAATTTCTGCTGGTGAAACCTTACTATATTGCAATATTCTAGATCCATAATGAATTGCCTGCATCCTCAGTTCTTTAGGAAGGGGGCTTAATTATGTGAGCAAGATCACTTGTTTTATGACTGAAAGTTTATTTATTTTATGACTAATATTTATTAATTTCACAATAAATAAATTAATCAACTCACCAACTGGTTAAATGGCAGTGCTACAATGAGAATTCTGCTCTAGCATTTTAACTTGGTGTAGTCATGGTTTATAAACTCACTTTAGTTTGAAAAAAGCAACCTTCTTCCTTTCCTGGAGATAGATATTTGTTCCCCAGAGGTGGTCAGAGGATGGGGATGGTTCTGTGTCTCATCATTCATCTTCTGTTACAGGGGTCCTGGGGGTGGCAGACCATGGCCAAACCCAACCAATGCTAATTCTGTAAGTAAATATTAAACATATATTTGACATCTTGTATTTGGGGAAGTATCCTTATGTCAATTCCAGCACTTCATAGCATAAAGGTTATCCTGGGATCCCAGGAGCAGCAGTGCCTGGTATTTCTTCAGAAAACACAAAGTTTTCATTGTCATTCAGGGATCACACATCATTAGTTTAAAAATGTCCATTTTTGGCATTTGCACAAGGGATAACGTGGGTCTGGCTTTTCCTGTTATACAGTTCTTTCTGTTTTCTCAGTTTTGGTGTTTTAATTCTAGTAATGACAGTTGGGGAGGGCGAGAGTTGAAACTCTTCCTCAGTTTTCTTTTGCATGTAGGTACCTGATTAAAATGGGTATTTTTCAACTGATAGTTGAAATATGTTCATTCTCTGAAATTAATTGAGTAGTTCAGTAATAGGTGTATTCGTAACAATCAGTGAATTGACAAGTTGTCTGTCAAGAAATTTGTATTTGTCAGCACAGTTGCTTCTCCTGCATCAGCACTGGCTGGAGTTACTTTGGAGAATAATTGCAAAGGCTGTCATAAAGAAGAAAATCAGATTATTCACAGGATTTCTCCGGATACCCTCTTTAACAAACACCACACTTGAATTTGAAATGAAAACTGCCCTTGGGGGAAAAAAAAACATAATGCAAAGAAATAGAGGTGTTTTCTGGGTTGAAAAATATGATAGTTTTCTTTCCTTTTATGGTTAAGATTTTAATCAAAATTATGTATCTGTAAGAATATACAAATTCATTTCATGCTTGGATGGCTCTGAAGTCCTGTGGACTGAAATGCAAGTATGTGCTGCTGAAGCTTATAAACCTTATAAAGTATATTGCCTTAATAATATTAAAGCTTTTGATATTTTAATATTTTTATAATTAATACTTTAATAGTGCTGAAAAGATGTTTATTTTGATGACAAAGTAATTTTTCCCATAATTTTAACTGTGTGTTTTAATTACCCTAATTAAAAAAATAAGCATTAACCTGCAGCTGCAGGGACTCCCATGTTACTGCAGAGGAAATCAGTGTTTTGTCTCTGTTGATATTACAGATACCTTATTCTTCAGCATCTCCTGGGAACTATGTAGTAAGTACATTTGTGTGTGTTTGTTTGTTTGACATCACATTTTATTTAAGCAAAAAAACCCAGTCCAGATGTTGAGAGGAGCCCCCGTGTATTGGTTGTGAGCGGCACATCTGATCTGCACCAAGGTGTTTTTTCAGCCATTCCTGGTACAGATGTGGGTGTTCTTCAGTGGGACCATTATCAGTCTGGTCAGAATTGCCCTCAGTGCTTTTTGACTCCACTAAACATTTTTATAACTGATACAAATGTATTCTCTTCAATAATAATGGGCAAAAAACCCTCTCAGCTTTCTGGGTAACACAGTGTTTTGTCTGAGCTTCTGAACTTCTCCAGGAAAAAAATATTTACATATAGCACTGGTTTTTGTCTCTGCCCCCAGAGATTAACTCTATTTATTGTTTTAGGCTCTTCGTTGTTGTAGTTATTGTTGTACTCGGATTATTTGTGTGTCTGATGAACTTTCTAAGGTAGATTGTGTGGACTGTTTTTATCACATGTCTAGAACTAGTGTCACAGGGTAATAGGAGATAATTACATATTTAAAAGCAATTTATTTTGTCCTTTATTTATGCAGTTAGCTGTGGAAAACGTTATGATTCTCACAAGTGTCCATAACTGTGGTCCTCCTTTTGCCACATGTTTAGAAGAAACAGCCCAAACCTGCTGATCTCTAAAACCAGTTCCTTTAACTAAGAACTTCACAAATTTCTTTCTGTGGGTTTGCTCTCAGCATTTGTGACCAGTTATTGTTGGAGATTTTAAAAGTATTTTGGGAATATTTGGCTTCATAGAAAGCAAGTGTTCGGGGATGAGGGAAGGCCAGAGAGCTCCTAAAAGAAGGCTTTTTGTCAAAGGATTTGTGATCTGGAACTAGACACTTTGAGAACTTCATAGGAATAATCTATGTATAATATATTAATATATATGCACTTCTAGAAATATACAAGTATATATAATATATATAAATGCACAAATATAGAAAATATATACAAATATAAATATACTCTCAACATGAAAATAGTTGATACCAGAAGGGTTTGTAAGAGAAGAAAATAAACAAACAATGAAAGTAAATGCAAATGTACAATTAGAGGCAAAAGTTAATGAAGACAAGTAACTTTTCTGATAAATGGTCAGTTAGTAGTTTCTGCATCTCTTTATGTGATGTTGAAAAATACATAGAAAGAGAGACATTAAAAATCAAGTTAGTGAGATTTAGTGCACAGGTATATGGATAAAAAGTACATGGATAGTCTTTCATGCCTAGATATGGATAAAATATGGATATGTTTATATGGATAAAAGCTTATGGATAAAAAGTATATGGATAGATACCCTGTAAGCAGACAGGAACAACCAAACCCTTTTATCTGCTGCCACTGAAAAAAAAAAATATTCCTGTCTGAAATACTATATCTACTGGTTTGAATTATAACAAAAGATAGAAAGTAATAGTCACATGGCAATGGAAAAATAATATATTACTAGCAATCTGACTGTTTTTTATTACGGAAAGTCAGTGTTTAACTGTTATTGACATAGACATTTTTGCCACAGTGGAAGTTGGTAGTTTTTCATGTTACTTAAAGATATTAGTGGCTCTGCAAACATAGGAAACAAAACATTATGGTTCTGTTCTTACTAAATGATTAGGATTATTAGAATAAAATTCCTAGAGAAATTCTGTAAGAATCCTAAAACTCCTGTTTAACAACCAGAGTGGTTTGTGTTCTTAGTCCTGAACAGATTTGTGACCCAGAAATACCTGAAACTTTAAAAAAACAGGGGTTCCTCGATGGTTTTTTTATGTTTGGGGATTTTTTTTAATCTTTCATTTCATGCTAACTGACATTTTTTCCTGTCTCCAGGGTCCCCCAGGAGGTGGAGGGCCACCAGGAACACCCATCATGCCTAGTCCTGCAGGTACTGAAATGTACTTGGAAATTATAAAATCATAATGGATTTTAGGAAGCACACAAATTATATTTTTTAATAAAGTGTCAGATAATAATTTGATTTATATTTTCTGCATCAGGTTTTTCTTCCCCTACTTGCTGTCATCTGCAGCACTGGAGGGCAGGGAACTTTCCTAACTGGCCATAAAAACTTAGCGCACCATAATATTATTTTCATTAAATACAATTCCACAGATTTTTGTTTTTTTAAAGAAAGCAACCTAAGGTAAAGATGTTTTGAAAGTTCTATTTTCCAAAGTGTGAAAACGCTTAGGAATTGGCCACTCACAAATTTTGCCAAAGTGTTTACTCTCCCCTAAGACAAACAATTCAAGGATTCCCACAGCCCAGCCATCCATCCCTTGTGTATTTTTCATGAGCTAGCAGGACATGGGCAGAGCCAGGGATGTATCTTGGATAAAGAACTTTTTGCCTACCTTACTGAATATTAAAAATAACTTAAAATGCTGATTTTACTTTAGGCTGAAAGCCTTTTGTGTCCCCCTTTTCTTTGGACAGCATGTTTGAATGTTCTAGTGATATATAGTGCTCTGTATATAACTCAGTTATTTATTTTAATTAACACTTAGAGAGTCCTTTGAGGAAGATGAAGCTGTAGACAAAAGCCTTGATTTAACTTCCCTGTGTACACAGAAATGCATTGGATGTGGAGGGTCTGGGTACAGAGTGCTGAGCTCTCTTTATTCTCTTTGCAGAAAAAAATTATTTTCCAGGGTTGCCAATATTTTCTGTTAAATCATGCTGTACCTTTAGGGATGCATTTAGACTTTCCTTAGGTTTTCAACATTTGGGGGTGGGGGTTTGAAGCATTGCACCATGCCATACCATGAAGATCCATCAGACAAAGCCTCCCTCAAAAGTGGGGATTGTTGCACAGTGTCCCACTGAGGAGGAGCTGGATATACCCAAAATCAAATAGACTGACAGGCATGAGAGTAAAAAACTTTCACTAACTCACAGTCTGTGTAAGGAAAAGTTGTTTTATCTTTTCTTACAGATGGAAAACAAATTGCAGGAAGCATTGATCAGAAACAAACCCCTGTTTTATAGAGAATGTTGAAGATGAGTGAAGTAATTTAGGACTCCAGGAAACAGCAATATGGAATTAAATAGTTACAGATACTTGGTGATTTATAAACCTTTTAACAGTCATGCATAAAAACCAGAGACCAGAGGTAGCTACTGAGGGGCCATGGCAATTTTTTCTTTTCATAGCTCTGTTGTGTGGCAGCAACAGGTAGAAAGGGAATAAAATCTTCCATTATCTTGCCACTGTGTATCAGGGATCGAGGCACAGAAATGACAGGAAATGTATTAGGTGAGTAGTTTTATTGAAAAGTGTATATTAGCGCTTAAAATAATATCTTATTACAGATTCAACCAACTCTGGAGACAACATGTACACTTTAATGAATGCTGTACCTCCTGGACCCAACAGACCTAATGTAAATATGAATTTAGCTGTATGTTTCTTTGAATTATGCAGCCTTTTGTGTATCCAAATATTGCATTTCCATCAGGTAGCATTATTGCTAAGTTTTCCATTCTTATGGGTGGCCCTTCAGTTGTGGGCCTTTGGGAAAAAATCACCAGTGGAACTTAAGAATAATTATTTATAAATACTGATAAATCATTATGCAGTAAATTGTAGATTGTTTTTGCCATAATGTTAATGTCTTTAATTTTGTGAAGAGGTAAATTTACGATTAATATATGAAATTGGACAGAAACTGCTCCAGTTGCAAAGGTAATGTGGAGCAGTCAGGGTTTGAAAGCTAGTAATTAATGACTTAAATTAATAATTTAAGAGAGTAATAAAGTTCCCTGTAACTTCAATGGGAGCAGGGCTGGGTCAGCACCAGCAGGTTGGAAAGTCATACATATAGTGTTTAAGTAAATAATAAATTATTCCTAAGTTATAGACCAGCCTACAGAGATGACAGTCTCCAAAAATCATTAAAGTGACCAACAGCAATGATGTTGGTCTTCACGTGGAAGACCTTCTCTTAAAGGTCTGAATGGAACTTGAGAGTCCCTTCTCATTCAGAGCTGGACTGTGAATTTTTCCTTTACTGTTTTTATTTTTCCTCTTGAGGAATATTTTCTCTTTATTAGGTTGTCTAAAAAATATTTGTACAGTTTTTAATGTCTGTTGCTTTTGTAGTTTCCCCTGGGACCAGGGTCAGATGGGCCGATGAGTGGACTGGGTGGAATGGATTCACATCATATGAATGGATCATTAGGTAATGACAGTAACTATTGACAACATGGTGAATTGTCAACGGCAGTGCTATTTTCTGTGACTGGTTCTTGGAGTTCTGTGGATGAAAGTGTGTAAAAATCTCCTGAAAACTGGAAAAGCTGAAACAAACGGAGACATTTAAAGATGAGGAAAAAAAATCTGTCACCTCCCTTAGCACTAGACTTTTTCGGAACAGTTAAAATTCAGCAGTACACACCTATTGCTAATAAAATTACATTTTTTTAAAAGAAAGAATGTCTGTGAAATTTTAGATTACTTTGCAGCCTCTATTTACCTATTTCAATACTAAAATGGATTCTTGGTTTAATTAATATTGATGCACATTGCATTCAGATCAATGAAAACCTGTGTAAAAGGCAGCCACACCTTCTTTCTGTCACTTTCTAAGCCTGATTTCTTAGCTAAAATGAAAAATTAAATTGAAACAGTTGTGGAAGGATTTTACATATACCTGCCATGCGCTTAATTATTTTCTTGGACCTCTCCAGCTTTTTTGACCAAAACCCTTCTGTTGGATATTTGTTCACAGCTCTTGATGATGAGAAAGAAATATTTTCCCTATTTCCACCAAAAATTATCCTTTAGACTGTGAGAAAATAACTCTTGATAACATCTATGTATATAGTGTTTTTATAGAGAGGAGGAATCATATTCCTTCTCAGCCTTGATTTGCCTGACTGTATCAAATAGTGAGCTATTTCAGTCTTCTCCCACAGCTCCATTTTTTGGTTGTTTTCCTGGGATACTCTTCTAGTTTTGCATTCAGTACTCTTCCAGAATTTGTATTTCCTGAAAATAGGTGTCTTTTGCTGCTAAAATAAGCTTTTCTTGCTACATCCATCCTAAAGTTGCATTTCCTTTATTCTTGGCTTTACCTGACAGCTACAGCATGTGAAAAAATTAATAGTCTCATACTGATTATATTTAATTTCATTTGGTTTCTGTTACTCTAGTTTTCAGGATCATCTGGTTTCTTCTAAGAGATACTGTTATCAGTATGTGTAATGCAGCAAAAGTTGATGTAACCTCAAATTAATTGATTGAATTGATTATACTGACTATAAACTTTTCCTAAGTTGGTTATGGTTTAAAATAGTTTTGATACACTATATATTTTCTATGAAAAAAAGTATAGGATTAACTTCAGTTCAAAACTGATTAATTGTCTGTTTTAATTTAAGGCTCAGGAGACATGGACAGTATTTCCAAAGTGAGTATCTGATCAAATATTTAGAATTTTTAGAATGTTCCACTCTAAACTATCTTCCCTTGTCTCTGTTATGAAGCTCTTTGTTATGCATCTTTATTTTATTATATCTATATTATGTATAATTGTACCCAGTCCATAATCTGATTTATCATGTTGTAGTTTTCAATATTATTAAGATAAATGGAAACAGTTCTGATAATCAACTCCAGTTAACTGTAAATTTGGGACAGTGTCTTTAGGATATTGCAGGATTGCTTTTGCCACCTCTGTAAGGTAGTGTTAATATACTAATCATTAGGTTAAATATCCTAATCATTAGGTTTAGTTCCCAAAAGCTGGATTTAGAAGTAGTTTCAGGAGAAGCACTCTTTTGCTATCACGACCATTAGTTGGAAATGGATGTAAGTTTAACCTGCAGGGGTTTTGCATCTACAAAAATAATGCTGTGATTGTGTGCGTCACTTCTATAAAAATAAAACTGCTACATATATGATCATCATTAACTTGGGAATTAATGAACTTTTTTGGTAAACTGTCATAAATAACAAGGACCCTGTATTCTTATATTTTGTAACATCTTCAGGCTCTGCAGAAAGTTAAGTGATGGATGAAAATGACTACGTTACCCCAGTTGTGCTGTGCTGGGCCATGCAGTGATGGGTTCAGTAAAATCCATCAGTGATATAATCACCATACAGCACCTTTTTAATTAATGTCTGTGGTTTTTTTCAGTATTTTATTGCAAACTGCAGCATTTTTTAAGGAAAAAAAAAGCCCAAGCATTTAATTTTCCATGGGATAATTTTTAAAGCCAGTATTCAACTCAGAGGCATTAAGTATGTGCTAGTACAAGTGGCAGGAGCTCTGAAAATTTGGGTACAAAAGTTTACCTGTAAGTCTCATAATGTGTTAACCTTAATGAATAACTCACAGGAATTACATTTGCTTTATGTCTTCTTCAAATAACTGAAAGAAAAATGCTGCTAATTTCAGGTGTAGAGAGTTGCCCATAGAAAATGAATTCATTCAGTATCAGTACAGCTCACAGAATCCAGAGTTTTCTACAGAAGATTTTGATTTAACTTGCTGAATTGCAGAGCATAAAGTTTTTATGAAGTAGATTGGGGAGGATGGGAATAAATTAACTGAAATTATGCATATGAAATAAACATCAGTCACCAGTGTTTATTGCAATGCCCATGGAATTTGTGCAGGCATCAAGGACACACTTCACTTGGAAAAGCCCAGTTCGTGCTCCAGTGCTGGACCCCAACTGGCCATAAAAGCAGCTTGGAGTCACTATAAAAGGGATTTTGTCAGGAATTTGACCCTTTGGGGCTGGTGTGCTCTAGTAGTGGCAGAATTTCAAAGCTTAGTGCCACACAGAGCAAGATAAAATAGGGGCAAATCTCCCAGGAATGAGCAGAAGTGCAGGAGCATTAATAAAATAAATGTGACAAGGCTTTAGTGGGTTTTAAACTTTATATTCATGGATTGTAAGACTAGAAAGACTGACATGGTTGTGTAGTATGACCTCCTACATCACACAGGCAACAGGGCTTCCCTGAATTAATTCCTGCCTAAGGTACAGTAACTGTGGTTGAGCTAAAGCAATAGATACCAATGGTTTTGATCTGTATGTCCTATATCCTTGATCATATTTCCTATATACTGGCTTCACTGAATAGCAGACTTAATTGTCTGATGTTAATAAACTCATTAAGCTTTTAATTGTCATGTATGTAATTAATTTTGTATTTATATTGATATTGCATCCAAGTTTTTCTGGGTTAAAAAAAAAGCCAAGGGAAGAACTATGATATATGTAAGCATTTGATCATGAAGTTCATGACTTCACTCCTCCCTTTCTCTGACTTCTCTTTTTCCATCACGAGTCTTCTAAGCATCCCTGTCTTTAATAGGGATGGAAAGGGAATTGTCTGTGCCCCAGGCATGGTAGGGAACTGCAAATCAGCTTTGTAAAGGCACCTGACTAATTGTAGTGTGTGCAATATGTGAGCTGTTGACTCAGAATAATTTCTCTGACAATTACCTTTTTTCATCCATTCTCTTCCTGAACGTTGGAGAGGTAGTTGTGCACTTCTGTAAGGAAAACAAATTATTTTCAGGAGGTTTTAGGTTGTTACTGTTTCAGTAAATTATGACCACGGTGAGCAAAGACTCCAGGGACAGGCCCTTGAAGAGGTCTGTGCAGACCAGATCCATCCTATGTCTTCCTCTAAGTACCTATTTTATAATTCACATATGGCAAGGCACACACTCACAGACATGGCTGCATTTAACCACATGATTTAATGTTGTGGCAGAACTTTCTCATACACCTGCTGCAGCCTTTTATAGATTTTCCTGACTTCAGCAGAAGCGGATGCTGGCTGTGACCTGAAAACAAGAGTTACAGGTAAACAATCCTTGCTTCAGGGAAGAAAAAATTACTTTACAGGCTAAAATTAGTGAGTGAATTATGCAGAACCCTGCAGGGGCTGATTTTTCGTCCTTGAAAACACCATTGCACCACGGTGCTGAGTGAAACATGCGTTTGGCACACGTGGTGAGGCTGAGAATTGAACTGGAATCTTCAACACTTATTCTTATTTAACAGAACTCTCCCAGTAATATGAGCATGAGCAACCAGCCTGGCACTCCCAGAGATGACAGTGAGATGGGTGGAAACTTCCTAAACCCTTTCCAGAGTGAGAGCGTAAGTATTCCATTACATTGGTTGGTGGCTTGTTTTACTTTGTGAACCTTTATTTCTGACTTTTTGTTTTAAAAAAAGAAAAACTACAAGTTTTGTAGTGTGTTTGTAGTGCATGTCTTTTAATAGCTTCTAAATTTGAATAAAAAACAAAAGCTAGGAGGTGTAGGTTTGCTGCAGAAACGATTTTTCTGGGTTAAGAGGTCAGTTGTCAGTGAAAGAGCAGGGTTTACACTGAAGTATGTGATTAGAGCATCAGTAGATTCCATGTTGCAAATATGCCATGTGCTATTAGAGCCATAAAAGGCAAAGGTTCCCTCTAGCGTTCATTCTGGGTCAAATTATGCTTTTTTTTTTTTTAAATGAATAATGCTTGAGGCAGCAAAATGTGGTGTAAAATACATTACAGAGCAAGACTGTGGTATTCCATACTCATGTGCCTGAAGCTGGGTTTCTAAATCCATGTTTAGGTCCCTAAATAGGAGTGTAACTTCATTAACTACTAAGTGGTGACCTGCAGCTCAGGAATTACGGCAAGTAAACAGTTTTGTTAGATCTCAACACAGTTGAACTCCACGGCAAATTTCATGGGAATCAGATTTTGAGGGGGTTTTTTGGGTTTTCTTCTTTCACTAGTGAAAAGGAAGAGTTTCTGCATGTTAGCTGTTGGTGGGCACACACTCAGGTTGTGTGGAGTGTTAGAGAAAATTGTCTTGTACAACCCAAAAAGACCAATGTTTCAGTGTCTGCCAAAACCACAGAGCCTCCATTAAACGTGATCCCCATTCATGGCAGCCCCTGACTCTCAGTTTGGCTGAGGGCACGCAGGCCAGGTCACCAAAACATGGGTCATGGGAAGAAGAGGACATCAGTTGTATTCCAGAGAAAATCAGTGTTTTCAGACACTTACTGGATTCTAGGTGCTCCTGGATGCTGTTTTCCTGCCTGGAGGAACCAGAGACCCAGTTTTCTCAGGGTTTTATTGAGTTGTGTGCCTACAAGGCTTCTGTTACACATCCCAGGTACATTCTAGTCTGTTCCAGGTACCAGTTCCTCTCCAACACGGGTCACACTGTTGTCCTTGGGAACTGCCTTCTTTCTGATTCATATTTTGCCACCTGGCTACTCAGAAAAGGCATTATTATAAAGTCCTTTCTCAGGCAGATCGTCTGTTCAGTTTACTAGGAGTTTTGGTTGGGGTGGGGAAAGGTGCTTGGCTAATAACAAGTTAAAAATCGTAAACACCTAGAGACTGTCAACTGATTCCTTGTCCAAAGTGTTTCCCCACTTGAGCAGGTGCTTTGCTTTAAGCCTTCTGAGCTGGAGTCCATTCTGTGTAGCTCAGATGACAGGGAAGACCCATTCAAAACGCTTTTTCTATAAGCTTGGACACTTGGAAATGGTCAGCTTGGAGCTCAAGCCTTGGCAGGATATTTATGGCATACCTGGTTTTACAAAGGCAAATTTATCTTTCTGTTTTTCTGTTAGTTTTCAAAATGCTGATACTTCTTGAACACCTACCTCTACTTAGAGGATTTTAGGCCAAATTAAGTGCTTTTGCAGTCCATAGCTTGCAATTTAAAAACAAATTAGGTGTGTAGATGTGCAGTTTTTCTAGGCATTGTGGTGTCCTGTTGATTATTTTAATGAAGTACTGCTAACCTGAGGGCAGGTGTAGCTTGTGTGAGGGCTGCAGTTTAAGTTGTGTCACTGTAATAGTGTGACTGCGTGGCGATTGAATTTTTGGTTCACACCAAGGAGAGTGGCCACTGGTCCCTGAGTCACCATGGAATGACCACTAGTCTCTGATGCATCTTGCCTCCTGAAACTGGTAACACAAAATAATACAGACTAAAAGCCTAATTTAATCATAGTCATACATATCTTTACTCCTTTCTTTCCACAAGGTAATAAAAAGCTCCCCAAAATATTTCTGTGGTTCAGCTAACCATGAATGCAGCAGTGATGTTTTGGTTCATCACATCACCCAGTTAACACCAAAACAGCCTCCAAGGGAGTTGCCTTTATCAGCAACAGCTGTATTTGTACATGAGAGAAGCACAACGGTAGTTATGATGCCACAAATTGAACTACAGCCTTAGCAAAGGCTGCAGCCACAAATTGAGGAGGAAGCTCAAGGAGCGTGTTGACCTCTGAATCCATTGCTGTGGTGCAGACATGGTTTTGGTTCCCTGGGGTGGGGGAGAAGAGGTTGTTAAAATGTGGATTGCTCTCTTTGCAGTACTCCCCTAGCATGACAATGAGTGTGTGACCCGCTCACCAGTGTCACCACGAAGACCACAGTGAGTTGGCCCTCTCCAGAGAGCTACTGCAGAAGAAAATTGCTCGTCCCAGTGTACAGTTTAACTAAAGGATCTCAGACACAATCAGACCCACCTGGTTTGTTTTTCTTTTCCTACCATCTCCCCCATTTTGTCAAGGAAGTGGGTCCCATGCTTGAGACAACTGTAAAGAGTGCTGTGACAGACCTGTCCGAGGTGGAACTGCAAGACTGTCTGTGTGTGACATGTGTGGGTCAATGTCGTGTGTGTGTGTGTGACACAGAAACACACATGCACATCCAGACACCCACAGGACATTGTAAAATAGTATCACATCACATCTTAAGTAGAAATGAGAAGTAGGGACTTCTATTCCATTTTTTTTTTCACGTTTACATTTTAATTATTAAAATTTGCTTTCCTTGTCCCCTCTTGAACTGTTCTACATTGCATATATCACTGCTTTATAAGTTATTTTTTAAGTTGAACTCAAATGATAAATTCTTTTGATTTTGTTAATGTCTGCCATTATGGATAGGAATAAAATTGCTTATAAGAGCTTTCATTAACTTGTGTTTGATACCAGCTACCCTGTGAATCACAAATTGTACTGTCTCAAGAAATAGAAGAAAGCTCATCTTAATTTTTTTGAGAAATTTGATAACTTTCACATAGTTTGGGGATTTTTTTTTAATACTTTGCCTTTAAAAAGAAAAGAAGCACTGAAGGTTATTTTTCTTCTTTAATTGAAGCCTAATATCTGCAATATCTATTTTAAATGGAAGCCTGAATTTGATACAAGCTTCTCAGTTTATATAGAGTACTATAAGGTTACTGTAAGTGAGCTCCAATTGCTTTAGAATCTAGCAATAAAGAACAGGGCTTCCCCCTGCCCTTGGAAATGAGTTTTCTATTTAGCATGGTCTTCTGTAGGGGTGGTAGTTAGTGGAAATACAGTAGAGTCCTTATCACCAAAACCCTTTCTAACAACTTACAATTATGTTTCCCGTTTTCAGTGATTCTCAAATGCATAGTAACAGTTCATGGTCCTAATTATAAACAGTGTTTCACAAGCCCATTCTGTGAATCAGGTCACCATGCTGCTGCTTGGGTGTGTGTTTTCTACCATGTCTGCCAGAATTAATTCCCCCAAAACTTTCCAGTCAGCAGCCTTTTTTGACCCAAAATGTTGCAGTACAAAAGGTCTTACCTTTTGCCATGAACAGAAGAGGAACAAAGCTCTGGGCCATTTTAAGAGTGGAACAGCCTGTTAGGTGTGAAAGCTGGAAACAGAAGGGAGAAAAGGTCCTAAAAGAAATGCTTCTGGAAGCCGTCCCATATCTCCTGAGGCAGAGCTCTGAAACCAAGATTATGGTACATTTATTTAGTTCCTAGTGATTCACAGCTCCCCCAAGAAAACAGAGGTTTTCAGTTTGTAGTGATCAACAGGCTGATGATCAGCAATGTGGGCACAAAGTGGCTCAGCAGAAATTCAGGCCACAGACAAAAAGCAGATTTCCCTCCTTGGACTTACAGGTAGAAGAGCCACTTAGAGAGCAAGAGCAGTTCTGGGGTGTGGTATGTCCATGTGCAAGGGGATTTTTTTCATGAATTGTGATAAAGGAGCATATGGGATGGGCTTGTTGTGATGGCAGCTGCACATACTGGGATGTGTAAGGAATACTACAATCTCCTAACTCATTTTTATTTCCATTTATTATATGTGTATATCATATATGGAAATAAAAAAGATTTAACATTTCACTCTCTTGTTAGGGCTATTCATGCTCAGAGGCTTAAAATTATGTTAAAGTATCAAAGATTTTGGTAGCATTACCTTTTAGTAATAAGAACTACTTTGATTATATTATATGGTTTTGTAGACTGTATTCCCAGTGATTATGAAGGTCACATTCATCTGTTTCTGTTTGGATAACACTTTGTTGCTGTCTCCAGAGATGGAGACACTATTGACTTGAGTTACAAACACAAAATCAGGTGTTAATTTCCTCAGACCCTTTGCTGTTGTCACTCACACCACTGGTGTGTTCCCACAGTCCAGGTGTCCTTGCAGCCTGTATTGACGCCTGTATTATCTATGGTAGCCTTCCAGGAAGGACCTGGGGACTCTTTTCTGCCCAGTTCCAGTCAGGTGATGTCACTGGCTCCTGGACTGAGGTAGATGGGGGCTGTGAATCAAGTGTCAAAGCCTGTTCGCACCCCAGGTTAAGTGTCCTGTTGGGCACTTTTGCAGGATAGAAGTCTGGCTACCAAAGCTGTCAAGGAAGACCCTTAAATGGAATCGCCAACATATACTGGATATTGCTATCAATATCCTCATTTTAATATATGAGTAAAATGTCCTTTCAGACACCTGATTTACTTGGGGTGTCCAACGTTTCTCATACCCACATAGCCCCACTGACAGCAGCTGATTTTTTTTTTTTGTAATATGCACTGGGCTTTTTGCTTCTTCATTTTTCTTTCTTTTGCTTACAAATCCTTGTAGGATTTTCATCATACCTTGAGTATCAGTGTGGAAAGAAAGACTATTCCCAAGCACTGAGTTTTTGTTTCTTACACTCCAGATATCAGGAGCAATGTAACTGCTGTTTGTTCTTATGCAACAGCATTATTGATAATGTCAGAACTTGTCCAACTCTGGGAGCAATTTTATTTTAGTGCAGGATAGGTTTTTTCCTCTGGGCTTTTAGATAGATTTTGCTCTTTAATATAGAAATAGATAATGGTGAATCTTTAAATGGGTCTTTCAGACAAGGTTAAAGTAAGTCTTTTTAAAAACAGAAGTGATTAAATCTTGGAGTAGCAAAAATAGGGAGTAGGACATCTTTCATACTGTGAGAACTCTGGCAAGTATTCTAGCCTTGTAGAAATCAGCTGAAATTGGAATTCACTTCTGAACTTCACAGTGAAACCAGTATTTAACGTGCTGCATAAAGCTATGAAAATGAGTATTCTTACCCAGATTTATCTGCACATCACCCAGATTTTATCACCGTGTCCAAGCTCAGGCAAGAACAGGGCTTGGGGCAAGGAAGAAGCTGTCTGAATCACAGGTAAAGCACATGGCCTGACATGTGGATCAACAAAATACCCAGGTATTTGCATGTATGCATTGAGTTATTAATCGCCTGAGCGAGAGGAAGACCTGCAGTTGCACTCCAAAAAAAGTGCCATTTTTTAGTTCATTGCAGAGCCCTAGTAAGTTCAGTGTTGAACTTTTTATTCCTTTTTTCCCCCCTTACCAGTCAAAATGACTTTTCAGCTGATACATGTTACACCTAATTTCTATTTTTCGTATCAGTTAATTATTTTTGAGCGTTTCCTCCTGTTCCTGGTCAGCCCTGATTTGTTGTTATGATGGCTAAATATGGATTGGATTCTTCAATATTTGACCTACACATTCGCATTTCAATAATGTAAATTATAGCTTAATGATATAAAAAGTACAGGTAAATTTACTTTTCTTTAATTCACTGTAAGTGATGATATAACTGTGGCTCCTGTCCCGCTTGGACCTTAAGAATGGGAATCCTGACAAAGTACAGTTCTCAGATAAACCCCCCAAAATTATTTCAATAGTGACATCTCACACTAAGGATCTAATTCAGGATTTAATGATCCAAAACAACTATAAAAATTAAAAGACAGATGACTTAGATTTAGATTTTACTCTATGCAGCTCTCTCTACTTTCTAGTTATTACTGGCACAGTCCTACAGGCTGCTGCTTGTGCCAGTTCTCCTGCTGAAACTTGGATGAAACCACTCACATAAGGACATTTTTTGGGTAGGACTTCACCCTGATCTGGGTCAAATTTGTAACTTACCTAAGGTGTGACATTATTTGGTAGATGTGTAAACTGCGTACTTAGAACAAAATACAGAGGGTCCTTTGAAATTACCAAAATGATGTTTCAACCTGAAAAATAAGAAAAAAGTATTTAAAATACCGCTTTGAGCGCATGCTTGCATATTGTCTATATATTGGGAACAAATTACCAAATTTAGAGATAAAAATGGATCATCTTATTCAGCACATTAAAACTCTGGTCCTTCCATTGAGTTGGCCTTGGTTTGAAATTAAGCCTGCACATTGTTGATTTTAAACAGATTTAAGAATACAGGAAATTTCCTTCAGGAAATTAGGAAAGTAGGACCGTGCTTTTGAGCATGGATGGTCTTTCCTAAGCAGACATTATTTTAAAGTTATCACCAGTGCAGGAGCATTTATGTATCAATAGTACTGACATCCGGAGCAGATTTGGCTTTCTTCTGTTTCTTACTTTATTAGAGCTTTGTTCACTACTACATTAACTATTTTTGTGAATTTGTCCTTCCACCTTGTTTTAAATCGTGCAGCCATAGTTACCCCAACACAGCCAACAGCTTTGCAGTTTTAGTCCACACTTCTGTTTGGTCGCTGTTCTTCATTTAAGCTTGAAGTGTGTAAGAAAGCCTCTCATGTAATGGGAAAACTTGCCATAAAAATGTATAAAGGTTTTCTTGGGTACATGTTTTCACATTTAATAAAAACACAGTTTTTGGTTATAATTTGAAGTGGTCAGTTTCTAGCCACTATTTAATTTTTGTGTGCAGAAGAAATTGAGAGAGAAAAAAAATCACTTTTTGAGTTTTTGTTTTGCTTTGGTTTGATTTTTTTTTTCGTATTTGTTTGAATTCAGTGTCATAAATGTTTGCTGAAAGATGTGGTTTTTGGGAGAAATCAGATCAAAACCACATTTGCTGCCTTGTTGTAAGTAGTACAGGTGGACTTGGTGTTGAAAGCTCCTGCCACATCCCCAAAAGCATATCTCTTGATTTCTGATTTGTGTGGCTTTGTATGAGCCTGATTCACAAGCAGTGATTTAATTTGTCTGTCCAGTGCTTTCAGTGTGTCTCATGGGAGGTCCAGGGTTCTGTGGTCTCAGGAGAGTGACCGAGTGGTCGAGCAAGCTTGTTCCCAGGGTCAGGGGGTTCAGGACCCGGGGATAATCCACCAGAAACAAGGTGTTTGTTCGCTACCTCGCTGTTCTCTTGAGAACTTGCACAACTCTTCTTGCCAGTAGGTTCTGGGGATCCTTTAAGATTTTACATTGTTGAGACAAGAAGCTTCCTTTTGCTAAGAGAAAATCCTGGCAGTTTTTAGCAACAGTTTTCGTACAGAAACAGCTCAAAACATGGGGATTTGGAAAGGTGATGTGTTTTCTCAGTACCCTGAATGTGCTAGGAAATAGATTGTACAATTTAGGAGTTTGGGCTGTTACAGAGATACTGAAATCATCAGTAATTGCTTTTGATGGGAAAAATCACTGGCTGTGGAACAACTGCTCTGATCCTTGAGGAGTCAAACTGTCAGCTGGGTGAACTGGATGTTTTAGGCTTTTTTTCCTATTGTTTAATCTTCATGTTTATCCTCTCTCATTTGGATTTTCCCGTTAAATGTACTGTGCCAGATCTTTGCACAAAAATAAGAGCATTTTGCCGAATAAACCTGCAGAAAGTTGTTCACATCTGTAACTACAGCCCTGCTGTAGAGAGTTTATTTCATTACACAGACTTTTGAGCATAAGAACAGATAAGGAGTGGCAGTGCTAGCATCCCACAGACTCCCAAATTAGGTGAGATGGCTCCTAACAATGACATAAAATAGCTTGAAATAAAAGCTGATTCTTGTCATGCAGATTAGAGGAAATAAAATCCCAAATACAGGATGTATTTAATTAAGGTAGAAATACACTAAAGTCATCTCTAACAGGAGCACAGAGCACATCCAACAACTTAGAGGGAAAGCAAAGCAGCATTGCTAAATTGTTGTCAATAAACATAACATTCAAAAGCAGTTATAAGCTATTTTTCATTTCCATTTTTCAAGTCTATTTTAATTTTTCTGATTAACTTGTAGTTTTGATTTGATTTGAATTTACATTAATGGATAAGGAAGAGAACACAAGTTCCTAAACTAGAGCTGGAATTACAGACATGAAATAGTGGCTTGAGTAAAGCTGGAGCTTTCTGTTAGTTAAGAATCAAGTAAATTTTTTAATTATTCTTTTTCCAGGACAAAAAGCATCCAAACAATAAACATTTTTAGCCTTGTTGTGGCTGTTTGAGAAGTGTGAATCAATGCTATGCTTGGAGACCAGTTTTCAGGGGTTTTTTTTGTGGCAGGTATCCCCGTGCAGTGCATCTATTTTGTGCATGTTTGTCTAAAGCTACCAAAAAAAACCCACCTTTGTTTTTCCTGAACTTCTGTACACAGATCTGGTTCTGGTGGGAAGAGGAGGAAGATTTGGTAGCTGGTGGGTTAGCATATTTATGTGAATTACTTAAAGCATTAGTAAACTATTGTCAACTCTGTTCACATTGCACAAGATACTCTGTGTAGTCTACTGCTGGTATTATAACCTAGGTGATCAGTGCATATTCTGTAAATTCCTGTAGGTTTTGTGTAAGAAATCTTGTCACCACTGCTTACTGCTGTAAATTCTTGTTTTGAAGCAAGAGGTGGCATTTGATTGTACAGCCATGTGTATTATATACTACAACAGTCCTTGTTCTGTCCTCTAGACTCACTGTCCACATAGAGTTGAAGCTCTGTTAAGCATGCGTAATGGTTTCAGAATTTATTTCAGACAGCAGATCTATAAGCCATTTACAGGAATATTAAATGTAATGTAAGAGAATCCAACCCAGTTCGTACCCTTTCTTGAGAGCTGGCGGTTGGATTTTAGCAGGCAGCTGCAGGTCAGCAGGTTCTATGGCATCCCAGCTGCAGCTGCCTGCACACCTGGGAGGTGTCACACCTGGGCAGGTGTCCCCTGGCAAAGGGGTGCCCCAGGTACAGCGCCTGGGCAGGCTGCTGCCTTACAAAGACGTGTGAGCTAGTGTCTTTGTTTTTTCCCAAAAACTGCATCAGTGCCAAGACTGAAACCCATCTTTAAGGGCATGCAGGAGGTGCGGTGCTGCCTCCCTATTGTGTCCTCCTCCCCACCCACCACAGGCTCCACCTGAGGTGGTATTTTAAGGAGAATTTAACTCTCTGTCTGTTGAGAGAGAAAAATAACCTGAATTCTTGGACTATGGATTCTTTTTTATAGTATTTTATGATGTACAGCAAAGACCTGAAAATGTCTGTTTGTTCTTTGCTGGTTTCTGACATCAGAAATTCAAGTCCTGTCTAGTCTGAAAGGCAATGATGGGAAAGGTGGAAAAGCTTGGAAAGTTGAAGGGGATTCTTACTTGGATTATTTTAAATGTTTTTATTGATAGCTTAAATGACTAGGTTAATATCTTGAATCAAGGCAGTCTTAATGACTTTGCACCTTCACCATTTCATGTAAGACTTTGAGAACTTGCAATAAATGTTTCTCACACAGTCCAGTATGTAGATAAACTCCTTATATTTCTAAGATCAAAAAATATTTCTACAGTTACTTCAGCCCTTTACAGAGAACAACAGGGCAATCCCAATCCCATAATCCCAAGTATTTGTAGGTGTATTTTAGACAAAGAATAACTTTCAACATCATAAATGAAACAAGTGTTCAGTGTTCCAGTCTCTGGAAGTAATGGAAACCTCAGTAATTTTGCAAACCAGCAAGAATTAAACTTGTCAATATAAATATTAATGTAGAAAGTGCATGCAAAACTCGATACTGCCTCTGACCTTAAGCATTAATATTGATAATATTGGGGATCTCACAAATGTTGCGTGTTACAGAACCGCTGTATTTCTCCTCAGTGTGTACTTCATCTTCATTACCGACAGCTACTGCAAAGAGCCAATCCATGCCGTAGCTGAGGCGTGGAGATACAAACTTCCCACAGCATCATAAATACATGAACATGTGTGTGTGTTGTGTTAGGATGAGTAACCACTCCAGCTACAAACTCCTCCAGACCTTGTCTGTATTTTCAGAGCAGCCTGTGGGATGGGTTTGGGAGGTCAGCAGCCTGTGTGGATGCTGCCTGAGAGCGATCCCATCCCACATGGCCTCGGATCTGGCTTTGGGGGATCATCATGAAGTCAACCCTCACTGGTTTTTATCTGTGAAAAGTTCCTTGCCAGACTGGGAACTGTAAAGACACGGATAGTGCGGGTCACTGACCCAGAGCGTGTCTGCATTGGAGCCTCAGGCAGGACTGTGACAGACAGTTTGTCATGATGATACTGTGCCACCACATCAGACTTGTTTCCGCTCCACACTGTGGCTTGATTCATCCTGCCATAATCTCAGCTGGCTAAAAATTACCATCCTGGGTCTCCTGTGTAAGTCAGAGGAGGGACAGGAGAGGAGATGCCTCTGGAAGATTGTATGGCATCAGCTGCCCTGCCACTGATGAACAGCTGGAATTAGGTGGGATGAATCCATGAGTTTACAATTGGCTTAGATACCTCTGCACAAAAGTGTATTTATTTGAGCTTGGTAAGGACAAGAATAATGCAGGTTCTTTGAACGTGAATCTGAGTGGCTTACAGATGAGTTTCTGAATTCAATCTCAAACATTAGATTTCTGCCCCATAGTTGCTCTTTTATTTTTACTTCAGGTTTTATGAACAGGTGTAACTTTAACTAACTTGTTGGAAGGTTTACACCTGCCTAGAAATGCTCACCTTTATTTGTTAAGTGGGCTCCCTCGTTGCCTGCACCGATTCATTTATTGTAAGCAACACATGAAGAAACCATTGCATAGATCAATCAACACCAGCAATAGCGTATGCAGCTTTTAAATTCAGCTGTGAGCTTGGAATTAAGGTATTAATGTTCATACTTTCCGGGTGTGGCTAAAGATTCCTTTCCTGAGAGCATTAAGGAATAAATCTAGGAGGTTGTGATTGAGGATTGAGAGAATACATGTAGCAATGGCAGTTTATGTTGTTTTGTTTTCTTTCTGTAAACGTGTGATAAATGTATTGCGATTTCATGTGCTGGTTTGGAGATGAGGGAATATCTGGTGCCAAACAGAGCAGATCTCTGCAGGCAGCTTTACGGTGGGTTGGCAAAGCCTGTTTACAGCAGGTTCCACCTCAGGCCTGCACCGCACCCATCTCATTCTAGTTCACTTTGATACCTTCCTTCACTCGCTGCTGGTACAAAATCCTGACAGCAGTTGTATGAGTTTTTGTTGTGAGCTGAGGAACAGGTGAAGTTTAAAAACACAAATGCTGTAGCTTGCACCTTTCACCTTCGTGGACTGTCCATGTTCTCACAGCTGAGCTGGGACAGCAGCCGCCTCCACAGTTGCCATGTAGCTCCATCCCACAAAATTGGGTGTCATTTTTTATGAGTTTAACAGGAGCAATATTGATCCATTCGCTTTTTTTGCTATGTTTTGAATCACTGAGAGTTGTGTTTTAGGATGTGCTGGTACAATCCCTGCCTGCTGTTCAGTGTTTCGAGTGCTGAAGTTAACCAAAATGTTACCTTCGTGGATTATCTCAGCCTCAGCTCTGTGTAAAAATGGGTATGAATTTCCAGTTGCTATTCCTGGTTTCTCTGTGCATTCTGAGCCAAAGGTAGAACAGCGGGAAAGATGGTTGTGGCAGCCACTCATTGACAGCTTTTCAGATACGTAAGGCCATTCTGTCTGTCATCTGACACTGTTCCAGTTTTTTCACTGGATCATCATGCTGTTGAATATCTCGATGGGTGTTGTCAGCCAGTGGAGGGAAGGTGAAGGAGCTCACCACCCAGGAAGGGTAAAAATGTAGCAAGTAACAAGCTGTCTTCTCCAGAAGTCATTTATTTGTAGTGCTTCACTGTCAGTAACATTTGTACCTTCAATTATTATTGTACCGTTCAGTATCTTGAGGTGGTATGAGCAGAAATATATGAATATATATAATTTACAAGACGTATAGGCTTGTACTGTGCCTTTGTAATTCTCTTCAGCTTCAGTATCTATATGCTACAAGCAGACAAACTTCCCTCTTTTGGGGTGTTCATTACTACAACAGTAGCTGATGGCTTCATTAATACTGACTATTTTAGTCTTCTGGGGCTAACATTTATGTTTTTCTGGGTGAAAATGCCATAGTGCCCTCAGCAGACGTAAGCACAATGACATAACACTGCAGTGCATGCTGTCTCTTAGCTTCTCTCTACATGTGCTTGCATGTTGGAAATTCAGAAGTGCTGCTGTATAAAATTGCTACATTATTTACCCAATACAGGTGTTCTTCTGCATCCCTTTTTAGCTCAAAACTCCTGTTGTCTTGGAAGTTAGTGATGGCTCAAAAGGGGGTTTTGGCTGCACAAAGGATGCAGGGAGCAACTCCTGAGTAGTTTACAGGCTGCTGTAAATGTCTTTTCGGCAAAGAAATGTAGCATTTTAGCTGTAAATTCATAGTGAAAACACTGAGCGTGCTTATCACTTAAGATTTTAACGGAAAAAAAAGGTGTCAGACTGTGTAATTTTATCTCATCTAACTTTGACACTTAACCAGTTTTACCTGCGTGTTTATGCTACACCAACCAACACAGACCTGAAAGGTGACAGCCTTGTCTTAGTACTGCAGCTACTCAAGAAGTCGTGGTTTTCCAGAGCTTCTGTTTGGATTTTTTGTTCCTTTAACACATTTTCATTGCAGAGGTATTTTTCTATAGAGTTACTTGAGGCTTTCTTTAACCAACGCAAGAGTCTGTAGCCCTCTGCACTGTGAAAGGCAAAGCCCTGTGGGGACACTCGGGCTTCGCGCTTGCCCAGCAAATTAGCAGAAATTTCACCCAAGCCATAAAAGCCTCTTATGTTAATCTCTATTTATGTAATTAAAGCAATTAGGGGTAGGAGCTTCAGGAATAATGAGGTGTCTCTATCATTCATTTACTCTCTCTCTGTACTTCCTAGGGATTTAAGGGTTCTTTTTCCAAGGCTCAGCTGTGTTTCCTCAAACCAGTGCAGTCCAGGCATTGTGTGAGGTGCAGTTTATGGAGATAGCATTGGAGCGTGAAAGATTTACTTCTGGTAGCAAGGAATAATCTGTGTCCCTGTGGACATGGACACTTGCAAACAAGTCTGATACCGAGAATTAAAAAAAAAAAAATAAAAAAATTGAAGATGGTACCAGTACATCAGACTCTGTTTTACAGTGGGGTTTTTAGCTTTTGTCATTTGTATTTTATTTTGTGAAAAAGGAGTTGGGGGGATCTCAGATCACATGGGGAATATTAGAAGTATATCACTCAACAATCATTTTATAAAGTCTAACTTCAAAATGCACTATGATTTATTACAAAAGTATATTTTCTTCTGCTTGCCGACATGGTGGTTCCATTTTGTGATAAGTTAAACTCAGCAGTTAATTTGTTGCACTGCCTGGCTGCATGACTTCATCCAGTGTACATACGTACCTGTGCAGCATTACTTTTGGGGTTTGTATTTGAATTTGCAGTATTGATTATTATTTTTGTATTTTACTTTGCCTCTGTTATTGGAATTGTAGTAAACATAATTTATACATATGATTTTACAACTGTTTTGCAACTGAAAAGTCTCCTTTAAATTGTAAAGTTTTATTGATGGATACTCATTAAAATGGTATAAGAATTATATTAACAATTGTTTTGTGTTTTGATGCTCTCTGTACATAAATATATGTCTATTTATCTGTTTAATGGTGCTTGTGTCTTGCAATTTTGGATACATTTTAGAATAAAGTTTCATTTTACAAGAAGTAGTTGTATTTTCACGAACTGTGTCAAAAAAAAACAACTCACCTTTTTTCTATTAATAACTAGGGTTATGAAAGAAGCATACATAAAACATTTGTAACTTCAAGCAGTTACATATTTGTTTCAAGAATATAGAAGTATGCAGTCTACAGAGATGCACAGCTGTATGTTGCAGTTGATTGACTGCAGTAACTGACATCTGTATTTAAAATGTTAACAAAAGGATGCATTTTGGAGCACTTCTGACTAGGTCTCATGGCTCTGCAGAAGATTTATTCACATCTCATACTGAGCTAATCTTTTATTAACAGGAAAAGGTGCACAAAGATGCTTCCTAGAGGTTGCCTTAGGGCCAGCTACCTTCACCTGTTGGTATTGCCACAGGTGCTGTTGTAACTGTGACACAAAAGGTACTTTTTCGACTGGGAAACCGTTGAAAAACACAAATCCGCTCTGTGAACTGGGGTCAGTAACTTAATTTCTGTTAATTTTTCAGCTGTGAAAGGAGAACAATATTGACTTTGCAGGTTATCTTCTGAGCACAAGTGCACCAAAAGCTGTAAAATACTCCATTACTCCAGTGGAGACTGTGTAAAAAGCTTCAGTGGTTCCTTTGCAGTCAGTTACATTCCTTTACCTTCTTGCTCCTTTAGCTGGAGCGCAAAAGAAATGCAGCTTAGGAAAGCAGAGGCTCATTTGGGAAAGTTTTTCAAATATCAGCTTTCCCTTGCTCTAACAGAAACAAGTTACCTTTTGTGTTTCTCTAAAACTCCTCACCCCAAGCATCTGCTCCTCCACACACTCCAGAAGGTTATAAATGTGAGCAGATTTAGATTTTACTTTACCTACATGTGATTGTAGAGGCTCTGTAGCTCCTCATCTCACAGCGGAGAACAGATCTATACTGGGTCAAACACCTGATCACCGGGTCAGTGTGAAATGGAGGTGAAAGCCACCTGTGGAAGAACAAAAAATGAGCATTATCTTAGAGAACACCTGAGCGTGACAAGGTAAACCTGGAAACAAATTTTAAAATTACTGGCCCAGATAGGCGAAACACAAGTTAATGGGTTTTTAAAATAGGAAAAGGTTTAGTTCTGTTTACAGACTCTTCCATCTGGCACCCATGATCCATGGTGTGAGAAGCTGATAACTTGAGTTTTTGTCACCTGGACTGAGCAGATGAGGAAGGAGAAAACACTGGCTGCAAACCTTTCACAAACCCTGTTCAGGTAATGAGAACGAGGTGTGCCACTGCCACTGTCAACAAAGTCTGTTTCTTCCCTTCACAGAAGCCAAAGGAAAGAGATACCCGTACAAACTTTTCTTTTTCTGAAGCAACAGAATAAAAAAAAAAGGTAGAGAATAGCACAGCATGCTGATTTTCACAGCCAGGATCCTCTGGAATGCAACTAGTGTGATGGTACAGCCATCCTGTTGCTTGCTAAAAGAGTATGTGACACACACTCTTGCAATAGCTGTGCAGTGATAGTAACAGACAGTGTGGGAAGAAAATCCCTACTGCACTGAGAAACTCTGTCTTGATTGGTTAAAACTCAGATTTTCCTGGCTGTTAAGGTTAAAGCTGACATTGTTAAAGCTGGATCTTTAACAATGTTTAAATGAACAAGTGTTCATGATATAAACTCATTTATACATGTTTGTAAGAAACATGGGAAGCCTTTCATTGGAATAGCAACTACCAAGAGGAAAGGCTGTAAGGAAAGGCTACAGAAAGCAAAGTGTTGCTGCTGTATTAAAACCATGCAGGAGCACAGAGTCAAATATAAGCCCTGCAGTCTTTCCTGAAAACCATTTAAAGTTTACACCTTCTGCTACATTAAAGTAACACATCAGCTCCAGGGACAACTGGTGACAAGCCCAGAGCATCCCCAAAGTGGTTGAGCCCTCAGTAACAACAGCACTGTATCCATGCCAGTAGTAAAACGTTGACCCTCCTGACTGGTCCAAAAGCGATGGCTGCTCTTACTCAGGGGGTATTTTAACAATGTGCAGCAATACCTATAGCAGCTGTGTGTGGAGGAGGAGGTAAGAGAAGGAGCTCTCTGCGAGCTCTCCAGTTACTAACTCCTGCAGGAATAGGTGACTGGGGCCATGGCATTAAAAATTCTATACCAGCACTGCCAGTGGCTCACCTGCGTGAGAGGGGAACATGTCTTCCCTGGACACACCTGCTGGGCTGTCAAGTTGGTGACAACATGAGAGAGTAAGACTTCAAGAAAAGGAAATAAAAATGAAAACACGAAGCTGATTATTACAGAGATTTTGGTAGCAGTGCACACACCAAACCCACCATGGGCTTGTGCCAGGCCATGAGGTGCCCAGGGGTCCTGGAGCAGGAGTGGTTGGACACCTACTCCATGGTGCCCTGAACACACCTAACACCCCTTCATTTCAGCTTGGAGAGGCAAAGGCTGCAGGGAGACCTTAGAGCACCTTCCAGTGCCTCAAGGCACTGGCACGAGAGAGCTGGAGAGGGACTTTATACCAGGGCATGCAGTGATAGAACAGGGGGGAGTGGCTTCAAACTGAGAGTACGTTTAGATTAGACAGATATCAGGAAGAATTTCCTCCCTGTGAGGGGGATGAGGGGCTGGAATGGATTTCCCAGAGAAGCTGTGGCTGCCCCATCCCTGGAAGTATCCAAGGCCAGGTTGGACAGGGCTTGGAGCAACCTGGGATAATGGAAGGTGTCCTTTCCTGCCCGTGGCAAGGGGTGGAACGAAATGAGCTTTGAGGTCTCTTCCAACCTAAACCATTCCACGATTCCCCTCAGCCCCAGCACCCCATCCCCGACGCCCCCTCTTCCCTCATGCCGGGCACCTCTTTTCCCTCAGCCCCATCCTCCCACTCCCTCGCCCCTGGGAAGCCCGGTCCGCTCATCTCCCGGCACCCCTTTTCCCTCGTTCCCATCACGCCGTTCCTCTAATTCCGGGGACCTCCTCCGCCTCATCCCCGGGCAACTCTTGCCTTATCCACAGGCATCCCCTTCCCTCATCCCGTCCACCCCTCTCCCCTCACCACGTCCCCCTTTTCCCCTCACCCCGTCCCCCCCCTTCCCTTCACCCCGTCCCCGTCTCCCCTCACCCCTCTTCTCTCAGCTCCGTCTCCCTTTCCCCTCACCCCGTCCCCCCTCTCCCTCAGCCTAGCGTTGCCCTCACGCAGCCGGAGGAGATCCCGGCCGATCCCGCGGCGCCGGGGCGGGCCTGTCCCACCCATCCCGGCGGGCGGCGGTGATCCCGGAGCGTGGAGCCTGCGGTTGCCGGGGCAGCTGCGGGATGAGACGTTCCCCCATGGATGTGTGCATGTGCCAGGGGGTCCTGCCGGCTCACGCCGACCCCCGCGGGGAGCTGAGCGCCGGGCAGCTGCTCCGCTGGATGGACGCCGCCGCCTACCTCGCAGGTACTGGGAACACCCCGCCCGGAACACCGGGAACCTCGTCCCGCTGTTCGCCCAGGAGGCGGCGAGATCACCCCCTGCCTTGGGGGCCGAGGGAGGCTTGAGGGAAGGTTTCAGACGGTGGAAGGGGAAAGTGTTCCAGATTTCCCAGTCACGAGGGGGTGTGGAAGGCACCGCACAGGGTCACGTGGTCTTGCCTCGGTGTCGTCCCAGAGCACGTGGCAGACCACTGTGTCCAGGCACAGCTTCGTGTCCGGGCACTTCTGGCAGCCTTGGGACCGTGACCGCTTCCCTAGGGAGCCTGTTCAGTGCCCAACCACCCTCTGGGGGAAGAGCCTTTTCCTGAGATCCAACCTGAACCTTCCCTGACAACAGCTTCATATTCAGGTTGTTGTGCAGTGCTGTTCTCCAGGTTTCCTGCTACTCCTCTCCTTTGCCTCTGTCACTCAGGAAACTTTATGAAGCAGAGGTTCCCTATGTTTTTGCAGCTCCTAGTTCAGTGGAGATTTAGCTCTGACTGGAAGCTCTAGGTGCTATGGTCAAGTAAATAATATGTCACAATAACTTGCGATAAAAACTTAACTGTCAGGCTATTAAGTATTAACAGTAAAGAAAATATTTACCTATTTCAGATTAACTTTCATAATTAATCCGGAAAGATTGCATTCTTTTTCACAACCAAATGCATCCCATGGAGATGAAGAACACAGTTAAAATTTTGGTAAAAATATTTTACAGTAAGTAAGTAAGTACTGGTTTTGATTTTTTAAAATCTTGTTTGCATTTGCTTTTATTTAATCCATGCAGTTTTGGTACAGGGCTGAGGACATGTACTTGCCTGCTTTCCACTGCTATGACCATGCTAATAAGGGAGCAGATTTTTCTGCTGTATCTGAAAATCCTCAGCTGTCATAAAACTTACATGTTGGTTTACCCGAGCTGATATTAATGACACACTGTTTTGAGGGAGAATGCTGAGATTTCTGTAAGCTGTTTAAGACTTTTTGACTTTTTCTGTCCTGCAACATGCTTGTTAATGCTCTCTTACCAGAACATTCATTGTTAGAGAACGACATTAAATAGAGATTTTCAAACTGAGTAGTATCATTGTCATCATCTAGTCTCATCTCCTGATGTTACCTTTCAATATGAATACCCTTTACCATGAAATCATGATAAATACTAACTTTAATCTTATTTAGCTTCTCTTTTTTTCTAAGGGTCCCACTGCAGACTTGCATTTTGGTGTTCACAGGAAGAGCTGGGATCTGCTGTGTGTGATCTCTGTGTTTCAAGTACACAGGTGAATAGCTCACTGCATGTGCCTTGTGGTAACTGTGTGCCCCCGTGTCTCTTTTGAAGCTGAGAAACATGCTGGTGTGTCCTGCATGACAGTGTCCATGGATGACATACGGTTTGAGGAGGCTGCCAGGTACAGAACCAGCTGAATGAAAACCAGGTGTTTTCATTCCAGGGATCCTTACTTGGCAGAGATCAAATTACAGAATCAGAGAGAGCAGACTGATGAACTCACCAGAGTTATAGGGCTAAGTCCTAAAATTGCTCATTTCTACCTGTGATAACCTGCCCCACCCAGAAAACAGATTGATTTCATAGGTCAGAAATAAATTGTTGTTACTTTGACTTGGCAGCCAAGATGAAAAACTTATGGCATGGTGTCTTTGGCTCTAGTGAAAGTGAATGATGCAGGCCACTAGGTATCTCTGTTAAATGAGGAGTGTATACCTATAAAAGTTACTGTATTAATGTTTGTATTGTTGCAAATGCTCTTCTGGTTTATTTCTTACCATCTCTTTTTTTCAGCTCTTGTAGAAAAACCAGAAATGTTTTTCATTCCTTAATCACTGAATTGGCTGACTCTTACAAGATAACACAGGACTTAACCTGTTTTAACCATTTTTCATGATTTTCAGAGGGATAAACGACACTATAAGAGGAAATAGCACCTTTATTCCTAAATCATGTCTTTACATTAACTTAAAGCCATTATTTTGTATTTTTTGCGTGTGTTTTACACCTTGTAATCTGGGAATTAAGGAGACCTTAGATGGGATAGACCTGGTTGCATAGACTAATGCACGTGCAGTTGTCTTGGGTGTAAACAAAAGCAACACTGGCTGTCAGAGGTACAGCTGGTGTAAATTTAAAACAGTTTGCTGTCCAAGTGTAAAATCAGCATCCACTCACACTTATGATTTTTAGAGCAGTGGCCGTTAGGATGAGAACTAGAACAAGTGACAGAGAAGAGAACATAATCATATCAAATCCAGAACCCAAAAGAGCTTTTCTTTGTCTGTTTTGCAATATTGAACTGTTTGTCCTGCCTGCTGTTGCTCTGTGTTTTTCATTTCGCCCTTAGGAAAAAAATCCTGTCTGTGAAAACTAATCAGAATTTCTCTTTTAGGCATAATACTTCATAGTTAGTAGCTTCAGAGCAACTTCCTGTCTTGTTCCTGAGAGCAGAACAGAGCTTCTGAAATATACTGAAAATACTTTTCCTTCCATATTTGTTTCCAAATGCGTCTCTAGTTCTTCTTACACTTGTGACATCAATATTTCATTTTTACAAGAATTTAGAATCTAGTAACTGTGGAGTAGCTAAAGAAATTATTTTTCAGTGTCAGGTCATCCCTAGCATCCTGCAAATTCCTAAATTATGCCTGATCCAGTTGATTATACAAACATCTTACATAAGTAACAGAGCTGTTGCTGCTCCCTCTAGTAAATGAATAAGATGTTTTGTAAGTGACTTACTGTAAGGTTTCATTTACCTAACTCAAGTTACTAAATGTTCTGTAAGGATTAAGTCTTCTGTGCTTCTTTCTTTCCAGTTGACTTGGAAACAGAAATTTCCACAACTCTCTATAGTTCAAAACTCAGTTTTATGCCATGATAACAAGTAAATCTCTCTTCCTTGTCTCTTAATATGCAGCAGTTCAATGGTACTGATTTCCAACTACATCTAATTTTAAATTACACTTATTTAAATTTCGTTAGTGTTCCATGTGCAAATCATAGTCAGTTCGTTCTATTAAGTTTCTGGCAGTTTTAGGTGTAAGTGTGGTGTTCTATGACTTCTGCCCCTGTGTATCTATTGTTACTGTTCTGAACATTCTCCTTTCTGAAAATGAGCTGTGCAGCTGAGAACCATTACATTAATGATTGTGCTTTTTCTTTGCAATGAATAATGGAAAAACTGCTTCTAAATATCTTCTTCAAAAGCTAATAAGGGCTGTGTACCTGCAGATGATCTTGATTCTTTCCACTGACCATTTTTCTCCTCTGTCTACTCAGCAAGGAAAAGCAATTTTAGCATAAAGGTTATGCAGTTCTCTGAGTAACTATAATTTTATTGAGCATGAACAAAGTCTGGCTGGTGAATAACAGTGCTAAACTGAAAACAGTGAAAAATTAACTTTTTCGGTGAATTTTCAGGGCAACGTGGAAGACACCAAGTGATTAATGAGATTTTCTTCACTATTAGGAATAGATAGGGAGGCACAGTCAAGCCCTTACAAAGCTACATGTTTGCATTCTCTAAGGTGTTATTCTTCTTAACAGGGTGGGACAAATTATTACCATCAAAGCAAAGGTGAACAGAGCATTCAGAACCAGCATGGAGGTAAGAGATCACCACTCTTATTCCCAGTGATATTGAAGGAATAGAACAAAGGTGGGAGCAGACATGCATGCAGATTTATTTGATACAGATACGTGTGCAGGTATTTAAACAATAACATTGTGTAATGAAACTCTGGTTTTGAAGTATTATAATTACATGTTTCCTGGAGAATAATCAATGTCAAAGTAGAAACTGGACCCTGAAGAATTGAAGTCTTTGGGAGCTGTATTGGGGTAGGTGGTGTTGGTCCAGTCCAAAGCTGTTGGCCTCCAAGCAGCCTTTAGATGAGATGCACTGAATAGGTGGAGTTCTAAGTATTTTTGAAACTTCTGGTACAAAAATAGGTAAATCAGATGTAAATATGTTCTTACTCTTCATATTGTAACAAACATGCAGTGCATTGCCAAGTGACTTGAAATCAGAACTGAGAATCAGAAAATTGGAAATAAGAATCGAAAATCAGAATTGAAATCAGAACCTTAGGGGTACTTTTTCTGCACTGTGCCTGAGTCCAATTCCATTAATATTAACAGGAGTAATGCATCTCACAGAGAATGTGTTCAAAAAGGCTCTAAAAATTAGAAAAAAATCAGAAGCTTCAATGCACATCAGGCATGGGAACAAATACAGTGTTTCACCTTCAAGTGTTTCATTGTATTTTGTACATTTAGACAGACCTCTTAGCCCATACAGACCCTAGAAAGATTCAAATGGGGATTCCAAATGGCACACAAGTAAATGGAAAGAAGTATCCATAAAACTACACCTCAATGTCTTTCCTGTGTTTTATTTTGCTAAACAGTGGTTGTACTAAAGAAACCTTCGGAGCTCAGCGAACAGTGTGATATTCTCAGGTGTTCAAAGATGTATCAGTGATAGCAAAGCAGTTTTTTACCTTTTCCCTTTTATGTGGAGAGACTGGACATGATAAATTTGATAAAAGCTGCACCATTTTGTCTCAGCTGACAATGATATAAAAAACCTTATTTTCTTCTTCCTTTTAGGTTGGCATCAAGGTTACAGTACAGGATGTTTTGACTAATGTTGAAAAAACTGTGAGTGTGGCATATGGAACTTATGTAGCCAAACTAGTTGGTGCTGGAAAGGTATTCTTTCAGTTTCCTTCTAAGCTTGAAGTGACTGAGTTTCTGTGAAATAAACCAACTTTCTTGATTGTGAAACGCAGTGAAAATGGTCATACTGGTTTAGTCTGATCAGTAATAGGAAAAGAGCACAAAGTCCAGACTTTATATAGATGAGGTTGTTTCATTTTGTTTTGTTTTGAATTCTCTGCTCTGAAATTGTTAGGCTATTACTATTATTATTGCTACTATTATTATTATTTTTTCCACTTTCTTTTGCACATTTGTTTTTCAGAGAACTGTAGTAAGGGGTGCAATATTGAGAGAGGCAAGCACTGAAAGAGTCTCCACAGTCTCTCTCCTTTTCAGAGGCTGATCTAAATAAACTTTGAAACCTGCAAGGATGGGAGGGTGGGGTTTCTTTATCCTTTGCTTCCCCTTATGAGGAGGTTGTTCAGACATCACTGTTCAGATAGAAGGCATTATTTTTAAGCTAGCTTCCAATCCAAATTAATTCTTTGCCATTTTTATTAATTAGTTTTCATGCCAATGCTGTTTCTTCTCCCCAGTGCTTGGCTCCCTGGAGGTATTTAGAAATCAGTCACGGTACTGTTGGCCTTCACATCGCTGTACCAGACAGGCACAGTCCCTTTAAAGTTTTCTTGTGAGAAAGGCCAAATATTCCTCAGATTCTCTTAACAAAATCCCTTTTTATGTAGCATTCTACTTTCTTGAATGTGACCAGAATCATGTACCTGACTTTCCTGTCTCATTGAACATGTTATGACAGTGCATCTGCTTTCTTAACATCCACTGGAGGCTGGCAGAGTCATCCCATGAGCCATTAATATATCCAGTCATTTCTGCTTTCTCTTCTGTGATGGTATATTACCATTTGCAGAAGACACAGACTGGAACAGTTTTACCAGAACTAAAGCCCAACTTGTCTCTGAAAGGCTAATGGCCAAATTGCTTCCCTGAAAGCACTGAAAGAGTATAAAGTAAGAATTGTTTATTATTGGTTTGATATCATACCCGTGGAATCAACCTGTTTACCTTTTGCCCAAATTTCCAGGGAGATTAATTCAGAATTAAATTGGTGATGATTAACTAAGATTAGACTTAAAGCAGGAATGTCCCAGAAGGAGTTTGAGAGCTCAGTTCAAATTCCTTCACAAAGTCTTGGAGAAATTAAAGAACTTTTTTTTTTTTTCCAAATCCACTTTTCTGAACAACTGTTTCTAAAATTGTGGAGAGAGAACCACTGTGCACCCACCATCTTAATCTGTTAGTTGGACCATCTGGAAGAAGATGGGAAGTTCTTGATGAGAACCAGAAAGGAAGCAAGGAAATGGCAAGAGGGTTTGAGAGAAGAGTCAAAAGCTGAGAAACATTAGCAGCACCAAGGCAAGACACAAAATGTTGAATTTCTGTGTGTGTTGCAGTGCTTGGTACATTATTTTTGACCCTAGACCTTGTAGACAAATGACACAAGTGACTATTCAGTGACACCTGTGCTGTAATTATCCAAATGTAATAATTTTCTTAAGCCAGTACATATTTGTTATCAGTTTGTCATTGAACTGACATACACAGGAATTTCCACTTACATCACTGATTAACTTTGTAATTCAAAAATTCAATACTCAAACCTTCATATTAATTTTTCTTTTCCTTTTTTTTTCTTAAGTGAGAACTGTCTTAAACTCTGTATAGTCTCATAGATGTTTGCATTTAAAAGCTAAAAGCACTTTGTCATTAAGTTTTAATGAATGATCCAGAAAGGATAATGCAGAATCTCTCGAACTTTAAATTCTGTGCTTGTTTGTATTATTGTGCTTGTCATCTTGGACAAGCAAGAGGTTTTAGAAAATGCTGAGGCCATTCTAAGTTCAAAGTGCACTTCGTTATGATTGTGAAATTAAGAACTGTTGGGTTTTTTCTTTTTCAGTTGCATAGGTTGAGTTAGAACCTGTAAAGCTTCTGTCCGCAGAAGACCACCTGGAGCACAGCCTGGCTATTGAGAGGAGAAGAATCAGACTGGGCTATTTCCAGATCTTTCAAAACCTAATGCAGGAGAGTAATAAGGAAGGTGATTGCATAAAAGATGGAACAAAAGACTTGTGGGCAGCTAGCAGGGAGTAAAAAAGCAGACAAAACATGTAGATCTCCTTGGGGTTGTGTTGTCATGTAGAAAAGAATGTGCCAGATTTGTAAAGGCATTTCTTTGTCTTTCAGAAATTCCAGATTTAAAATTGCAGGATTGAAGGCCATTCATGCAGTAAATAGATGTGAAATACAGATCTTCACCTAGGTTCCATTTGTGAGGTTTAACCCTTCACACAGAATTTTGCAATGCAGTAATAAAGTCCTGTGACACTCACTGTTGTGTAGATAGAGGGATAAAATTCGCTCAGGTTTATGGCCATATATTTGAAGAAAGCACTAAGAACTGTGTTTATGCCCTGAGATCATTCCCAACAAGCAGGAAAAATTTCATAACATGGGTGTCAAAACAGGTAAAAAAAATCTTTTAAACACTTAGTGATCAAATTAGAAAAGCTGAGCCAAGAAACAGGTTCATCTTTTATTCTGACAGTAATTTCTGTTCTTGAAGAGACTTGTGCTCAAAAGTTGCTATGTTCCCCTACAAAAGAGATTATTCCCAACAGTTAAGCAAATATGCTGGTATTTTGAAAATGTACTCCATGTATAAAATACAGGCTTTTACTGAGGTTTTACTGAGGAGAGATTAAACCTGTTGTAAACATAGATTCTAGTATTAACTTTGTAGAACTGAAGAGTCTTGTTTGCTATAAGCAAAGAAGCTATTTGTCTTAATGGTAATTGTCTCACAGGGTACAGTTGAATACCCTGACAGACAAATCAGAGGTTGATGGGTTTTATCTCCACTGCATTTCGTGGAAACTTCCTTCAAGGGTATTTATTGTAGCACTAATTCACCTTCTTCCAAGCAAAATAGGGGAGAGGAGAAAACATTTCATGGAAAGGCTTCTAGGTAGCAAAATAGGTACAAATCATACCCAGAAAGTGATCCTTGTCTGCTGAGTGGATCTTAGGCAACACTTAAGTAGGTCCAAAGTACAAGTTAGTTACGTGTTTCCGCACATTTATATAATCACAAAGATAGTTAATTGTGTTGAAAGTCAGAAGTACCATTCAGGTCAAGCAGCCTTAGCACTTTTAAAATAACTGACATAATCTCGTGCCTAAATCTGTTCGTACTAAACACCACTGAGAAGAACAAAGATCAGAGTGAGGATGTATGGCTAAACATTTGAAAGTGATACTGGAAATGCTCAGACAATGGAAGGTGATCCAGATGCTTCTTCTCTCTTTTGTCTGTTATATGTTGTCTCAGGTAATCACAAGATTTGTAACAAGTTTGACATAATCATGTCATACTCAAACCTTAATTAGACACATTTGCACAGGTGCCAATCACACACAGTGGCAAAGTCTTTGAAAGACATTTGAATAAGTGATGAACAGAGCTCTGGTTCTTCTGTGTCTTTCTGTTTTTCTTCTTTTCATGATGCCTGAAGCAAATGCACACTTCAGTAATAGGGTGCATTTTCTTCTGAAAAAATTCATTGATGCATTGCTGCCATATTTCAGATACTTTTGAAGAGGAAGATGCAATTTCAATTGAACTTACTCATGTATTGAGCTTGTCCTGCCTCCTCATGCAAACCATCATGGAAACACTTGGTGGCCAGATCATGGCTTGGATGGAGACAGTGGCAGTATTTCAGCAAGGTACTTCCTACACCACAATCTCTGCATATGGTTCTAAATAGATGTGCTTTCACAGGGATTTATTTCATGAAGAATAGAGACCCAGACCTTTGTAACTTTTCTTCCTCCTCACATTGCAGGAGACCCTTGAACTATTTATGTGGTACAGCTCCCACAGCCACTGTGAGAGTCAAATATTGCACATACAGACCCTAAGGGCAAAGAGACTGTGTTATCCTCCTGGGAATCTCTACAGAAAGTCAGAACTGGATGCAGGAACCGAAACTTGCCCTCCTTTTGGTTGGTGCAGTGTTTAAAAGCAAAATTAATTGTTAAATCAGGATGAAGCCAAGTACAAAGTACTTTTTGTGACACTGCTACTTAGTGTGGCCTAGTCATAAAATCATTTAATTCCTCCTCTCCTGGAGTCAAACCGTTGTTTTTCTCCCTTCCTGTTCTTGGACACTGCACAAAGCTTTTTTGTGAGCACCACTGAAGTTTCAGTTTGAATTCTCCTTGCATGGCAAGTGACCTAATTCACTGCAGGGACGTTAGATATGTTTTCACTTTTTAACTTTAATAATTAAATGGCTTTGCCATTCATTATTCATGTGGTTTTGGTTTGTAGTCAGTAGTTGTACTAATAACAACAGATTTTCTGAAGTGGTTGGATAAACAGCTTGTTTTAGTAACATCAGTGCACTGGCCTTTCCCCAGTGTGCAGCTCCATTGGCTTGAAGGGATTGTTGCAGGTTTTTGCCGTAATATGACCCAAAATATTTACCTGTTTTTATCGGATAAATTTTACCTAGTGAGAGTCACATTTAGATTTAAAAAGGGAAGGAAAATAGCAGCAAACTGAGTATTGAACGAATTTCCACTGAGCTAATGAATGTCAAATATGATTTATCATGCTGAAAAATTCAGGAATAATAGCTAGTGTCTGAGGCTGGTTGAAAACAGAGATTTTGTAGTTTTTTACTTGAGAGATAACTGGTCTCACTATGAATCTTTTTTGAGGCCACTCAGAGCGAGACCTGACCTTTGAAGGTGCGAGGTAAGAGTTGGCATGGCTGCAAACTCTGATAGAAGAATGGAAAAGGAGGGATAACCCTTGACAAAGAAATTCTAAGGGCATTTTAAAGTTTAGTCACCTTCCTTCTGCCCTCTCCCTTCCCCACCACCTTTGTTCTGACTGACAATACATGAAAATCTTGAAGATAGAAATAAAACAGTTGAATATTATTAATATTAGTTAGAACTTGATACATATTTTCTTATTTCTTACACTTGCAGTAAAAGCATTCAGAGCGAACTTTGCCATGAAAAATTGAATATTTAGGCCAGATTTCTGTTTTGTTCCTCTCTTATTTTCAATAATAGTGTGTTTGCATTTTTAACATTGTAAATAAAATCAATGTTTAACATTTTAAATCAGAAGAGCAAGTTATTTTTAATTTCATTACAAAGTCATTTGAATGTATTAGGCTATTAAATAGATGTACCAGTCAGTTAATTAGGTACAGATAATTATGTGCATTTAACAATACTGGTACATTAGTTTTCAAAGTGCTGTTCAGTTAAAGGCTAGGAGTGCTGCAAAACTGTGTTTTCAAATTTAAAAGATGCACAATGAAACATCTATTCTCAGATGTGGACATGGGCTTCTCACTGAGAACAGCATGCTTTTTCAGAGTCTAAAAATAAATGGCATTATTGTGTATTGTTCCCAATTTGTGTGATGCACAGAAATCCCAGTAGAAAGTGAAGGGCTTTGACTGCATTTAGAACTGATGAAGAAGCCTAATTTTTGCCCACTCCAGAGAGCTTGCAAACTAGATCCCATTTACACAAACTGCATTTGGCAACAACGAGTAGTTTTTTTATTCTTATTTCTTATCACACCAGCAGAAAGTGTCTAGTAAACAAGCAAAAAGAAAGTACAAATATTAAAAAGAATAGATAGACTGACATTGCTTTGCGTGAACACTCTTTCTGGTACTCAACCTTTCTGCTCGGGTTTCTTTTAATTGTTCAAAGGCTTTATGATCTGGCAATTTTATGTACTCCCTATGCATACAGAGGTTAATGAAACTCTGTGAAATAAGTGGTTACTCTGTAGGTAAGAGATTCATGGCCTGGCTCTGAAAGAGGGTAGTATCAAGCAGTGAGAATTAATTGGTGTTTGTAAAATGTGTGGAAAAGGAAACAGCTTGACATAAGTGGCATTATTATGTTTGAAGCTCAAATTATGTGCTCTTGGAGCTGAACATGGTCAGTGTATTCCAGTGGGTTATGGAGTAAATTAGTGTAATGTAGTGACCTTCTGAGTCGTGCAAACCTTGTTGCTGTAATCCCTTCCCACTCCAGAACTAACGAAGGAAGTTCCTCAGCATGACTGTATGTTTTGCTCTCTCTTGCTTTCCTTCCCAGCCGCCTTTGTCATTCATACCCTGTCCTGAAATCAGTGAACAAGTTCTGGGGACCCTCCTTTGTGGGCGACCGCCTCGTCTTCAGCACCATTGTGAACAACACCTTCCAGAACAGGTGAAGTTCCTCATCTGTTTGTCTTCCTTGACTTCTCCAGCACCAGCCTAAACTGTGTGTTTCAGGTTTCAGCCTGAAATCCAGGAGGATTGTGTTCCTGAATTAATTATTTTTTCAGCTGGAACTTTGAAGGATGTATCTCTATCTAAAACTGTCTATATGTGGGAATTTTTTGCTTTTCTCACTGGAAGTTTTTAAAAAAATGCATTCCCTGACTTTCATTTTAAAGATAATTTGTAACCAAGTCTCACTCCCACAAATGCAGTCACTAAATATTCCTCTAAAACTCACGGATTTCCAAGAGTTCATTTGGTCCCAGAGCAGTGATTCTTCAGAATATTTCAGTTTACCCATCTTGACATCTGTTGGCAGATCCGGCTTCTATTTTATTGCTTATTTTTATTAATTCTACTTAGCTACTCCCATCTTTTATTTTATTTCTGAAACGTGTCTGTCCAGATTGAGTAATTTATTTGGTTTGCTACAGAAGGTATTTCAGTCACACACACCTGGGTGCACAGCAGTCCTTTTTAGCATTTCTCAGGGCTCCTTCTGCACCACTTGAAGTAGTTCAATAATTAATACAAACTTTTCTTTCAGTGTGGAGGTTGGTGTCCGTGTTGAGGCTTATGACTGTGAGGAGTGGATCAAGGACCAGCCACGGCACATTAATAGTGCATTCCTCATCTTTAGTGCTGTGAATGACAAAGGACAGCTGCTCCCTTTCCCCAAAGTCGAACGCACAACAGAGGTGAGCTCTCATCCACAGGGGCAGCAGGGATGCATATTTGAGGTGCTGTGGTCCAGCGCAGCACACTCTATGTGCAACAGATCATCACTACAACCAAGACATGGAAGAAAAATTTGCTTTTTGGAGATTTTTACCTGTCTGTATGTTTATGAAATTTCCACTTACTATAGATGAAACTCTACAGTATTAGTAGTTATTTTTAGAAATCCTTCACAAAGATGAGAAATAAAGTTAATAAAAAAGGGTAGAGGAATCAAACAAATCCCATGATGTGTGTGGGCTTTCCAGTCCCTTGGACATGAAGATCTCAGCATGTGTTGCCCTGAAAGTGGTTCATGAAGCACTTGAAGCAGTTTGAATACTTTGTTAAATTGTTTGCTGTGATGTCACCTGTCATGAGCCTTCCTGCTCCAATTAGAAGAATTTTAGAGAGCCAGCAGTAGCAGAACTGAAATGATTGTTTAACATCAGAGATCTTATCTTTTATAGAACGGCAACTAGACAAATAAATCAAGGTGTCCCAAGTACTAACTGAAGCAGTCAAGTTCACCATGCACTTTGCAGGCTGTTCCAAGAGGAAAAACTGACTTTACAAAAATAAAATAAAATTTTTGCATGCTTTCTTTGTGCTTTGGACACCTGATGATGAGAAACTGGATTGATAGTTTATTTGGTGGTGGCACATTTAGAAAGAGTAAAATGTGTGTGGTTCACTGCCCAACTGCCACTGGTTTACGACCAAAAAGCACTAAGAGGGAGCAGCTGTGATACAACTCTTTTATCACATTGTTTTTTCAAATTTAAGGGAATATCTCCAAGCCAAAAATAAACTTGGGTTAATCTGGGGAAAGGTGAGGTATAAAGTACAGTTTTTTACTTGCCTGTATTATTTCTCTGGCATTTGTTAATCTGTAAAAAATAATGTTTAGTGGTGGTTTTTTTAGACTTTATTCTAAAATAATCAGATGTGGGACTGTCTGGTTTACTTTTGATGAAGGATGGTATGAGAAGATACCACGGAGCTATTGCCCAAAGGAGAATTCGTCTAACCAGGTATAGCTGGGCTACAGGGAGGACTTGGTTTTGAAAACTTAATTTTATAATCCATCCTATAAAAAACCTGATCATTCATTAAGTAATCAAAATCTCCTTAATATATATATGATGTTATATTATTAAATTTCCAAATAATTTTGTTTCAGATGCACTCAAATTATTAGAGTCTACTTGTTTGAAAAATTACTTTGCTCTACAGGTTATTTGGTTTCTCCATCTTCCTTGAAAAGAAAAAGGGAGTTATTGCATGTGTGTATTGCATCCAAAAATTGATAAAATATCTGTATTTAGAAGACACTTAAGCCTATAGAAAATGATAGTTTCTAGTGTACATAGAAGTAAGTGTAAAGAACCAATTCATGCTATTATTTCTGTCGTTAATTGTGTTTTAGAAAATGCATACTGTCTGCTAAAGGAGACAAACCTTCTGAACCCTGGGAGAGAAGCAACCAGGTAATCTGTAGGTGCATAAAAAGGTGGGGGTTTAGACTTTTGGGTGTTTAAGACTGTGCCTGTGTTACGCAGTGAATAGTGATGAACTTGAATTTAGGTGGACTTACAGACAACTTTTCAGTGTCCAGTTTTTGTGGCTAAATTTTCATTGCATTTAAGATCTCACAGAAATTTTCATTCATCTACTCCCATTACATGAAAAAATAAGTAGTTGAGAGTTATAATGCAGGGAGGGATTTGCTGTTAACAGGGGCATCACCACTGTTTGAAGCAGCATTTTTCTTTTTCTGAAAAACAATGATTGTAAACATGCACACACTGATAAAAATGGCTTACTTAAGATTTATTTACTATGAAATTAAAACCTGCCATGAAAGACTCTAAGGCTGTATTCTCTTTATATGGTGGTTAAATGAGAACTCCATCCACTGTAGCCAAGCATAAATAATGGATATATTTGCACTTTCTCTGCTCTGAGCCTGCTGTGTAAAGCAATTGCCAAGATGGACCACAGCTTGATAGCAAAGAAGAGGTTAATTTTCTAGTAGATTCTAATTACTTAGGAAGAAGATGGACAAAACCATTAGTTTAGTGGCCTGTGTTATCTCCCTGGTGGTAACAGTTTTTCTGCACTGCTTTATAACTGCAGAAGCTGAAAGTAGTATTTTGTTGTTCTTTAATTAAGGTTGCTCTGTCAACAGCCATGTGAGCACATAATCTACCTATTGGAAGTTTAATTCAGAAACTACTAGGCTGTGTTTTCACTTATAAGAAAAATAAACATTTGCTTGTGGTTGAGGGGTAACGATAGAAAAAAAGAGCATCTCATTTCTGCAATGTTTAGTGAAGTGTGCTTTTACCCCTTCATTTTCAGACATGTGTCTTACATTTCAGGCCTATTTGAGTTACAACAACGTAGCAGCATTGACACACCTGGCAGCAAAACCAAGATGGGAAATAACTAGGACGCTGGATGATGTAAGTGCATCATTGTGGAGTCACTGCACAGCCACTTGAGCTGTGCTCCACCACAAGAGCTGGGCAAGGAAAAGCGGTGTTTTACTGTGTGTATATCTGAAATACACTGCCTTCACCAGCTCTGCAGAGGTTTCTAAGCAGCAGGGCATTATCTTGTGATAGTTCCAAGTGGACACTGCCAGTCGCACAGCAATTTATGTACCATATTTTTCATGTATACCATATTATCTGTCTTCTCAAAAGGCCACTTGAGGCTGTTCCTATTCATGATTTTCCTTTCAAATATTCTTCTTCCAGCCCTTTTTCTATTAAAAGATTACAGAAGTCTGAAAGCAAACCGTCTCTCTGTTCACCTACTATTGTTATAAACTCAAAAGCAGCAAGGAAACTTGTGTAAGCCAGTTCTAACAGAGGAATATCCTGCTAAGAAAACCAGCAGCAAGATCATGTAGCTGAGAAAACTTGGTATTAACCCAGTTGCAGGGCATGTTTCCCAAACCACTGAGAGGCATCGGATATCTGTTAAGGCTGGATTTCTGAAATAGGGTTAGTGACTGGCAGATCACTTTAAAATCATGTAAATCCAGAGATGTTTGGGGGCAAGAAGAGGTGGTTGCACTACTTTAGTCTGACCTCCTGCACATCAGAGGCTATGAAACTTTGCTGAGATGTGCTTGCATCTGGTCGATGAGCTGCTTGAGTAAGAGCAGACACAAACAATAAGGAATTCTAGTGATTTGGGAATAACGCCTACTAACTCTTAAGTACTCTCTTTTACCCATCTTGTTCCATTATACAGGGTTTATGGAATGTGCCCAACCCTTCTTTTGTGTGTGCATTGTTATGTACAAGTTGTTCCTTTTGAATTCTTAATATTAGGGTTTAGGCCTATGACTAGAAATAGCCCCAAAATAATCAAGACAAGATACTACAAGTGTGGGGCAAGAGAGGCAAAACCATGTGTTGAAATAGTTTTCCCATATATCATTGATTCTGGGTGCTCTGCTTCACAGAAAAGAGAAAAAAGGGTATTTTGGAAAGAGAAATGCTGAGTCACTTTAGGGGAAGGGGGCATAGGCCAAGGTGTGGCTGATTTGTATGGACAAAGGCATTTGGTATTTCATGGGTACTCCTGAGAAAATCTGCTGAAGTCCTAAATCTGTAACATTTATAAATCTTAAAATATTCATGCAGTCATTCTTTGTTTTCAATACGTGCTCACTTTTTCTTTCAGATAAAAATATGGACTCTTGAGGAGGGTAATGCGTTATCTTTCAAGGTTGAAATGCAGGTGAAGATCCCATCCGACCTGGCTTTTTACCTTCTGTCCGACTTCACGTTGCGCCAGCAATGGGACAAACATTTCCTGTAAGAACCTGCCTTTCTTCAGGGCCTTGAATCCACTGACAACTAACCCTTTCTGATACAAATATTTCCTGAGATGTTGGCACTTTTCTACCCAGTTAAGAAGAAATCGTTGTAAGAAGCTGACATCAAAGATTTGTTAGTCAAAGTGTGGATTTTGGTTTTTACATTAAAATTTGGTTTATACTCAATCTGATTCCAAATTATAGGTGCCCTGGGCTGTCAAAAGAGAGGGATGGGACAGATGTGACCCCTTTCTTAAATGAACACAATTCCATGCTGTGCTGGTTTAAGAGTTAACCAGCAGGGGAAATGAACTCAACTCAAAGGAGAGATTATAAGTCAGAATAACAATTTATTAAAATAATACAGTAAGTACAATCATACAAACAAACAATTGGTCTTAACCCACAAAACCCAAATGTATAACCCAGTACCCCGGGGCATAAACAAAGTGGTGTTCCTTGGGCCCCGCTTGAGTCCAAAGTAAAGGGAGAGGGGAAAAACCTGCTGGTGGGAGAGCTGTTGCAGTCTGGTCAGAAGTGGTGATTGCAGTCCAGCTGAGGGTGGTGGTCTAAGTCTGGTTGAGAGCGATGAACTGCAGTCTTCCTCTGGATCCCACGAGTGGTTAAAAAAATGTTCCAAGACTCCAAGATTATATATCCTCCAGTTCAGGCAGGAATGCTCAGTGCTTCCCTCAGGGCAGGGAGTTCCACAAAGGGTGTGAGGACAAGAGCATCCTCCTGTCTCACAGGCCTCTTAACACCTAGTTTATAGCCTGAGGAGTCAGGCTCTATGGGCAGAGGGTGCGAATAGTCTATTGACAACAGTTTCTGGGAAATGGCATGGAAGGCTATAGAATACACAGTTTTGGGTTACACCCAGAGCATGATGAACTGATCTCAGCTGTCCTAACTAGGACACATGCCTAGACATGGGTATGTTACAAGTGACAAAAACTAAAAGTTACTAGTAAGAACTTCAAGTTGCGTACAACTTGAGGTGGATATATTGTGCATGCTGTCTGTGAAAATTAAAGAAGACTCTGGATTCCTTCATGTTTGTGTTGTTTGGGACAAGGATGCTCAGATTCATTCTACTGTGAAAGTGAGAAATCAAGAAATGGGGTTCTTCAAAATGTGTACTTTCAGAAAAAAAAATCTTTTAAAGTGTATCTGAAAAGGAGTAGGTTTTGGAATTGCTCTAAAAGGTGTTTGAGGGTCTTTATTTACTTTATATGGTGTAAAATAATGATTAGAGTTGAATTAATATGATGCCAATTGGTTTTGGTGAATATTCCCTTAAAGGAGAAGCGCTTTCAGGTAATTATTCCATCGTGAAAGGTTTTTACCAGGTGAAAGTGGAAACTTAGGGATATTTGAAAAAATACAATCTCTACTGAATTGATGGCTTGTAACAAGTGAAATCTGAAGAAATACCATGTTAATGAGGTGTTGCAGAAAACCTAAATTTTTCACTCTCTATTCCTCTCTGTCCCTTGCTGCCTGAACGTGAAAATCAAAGGTTTAATGTTAGGATGGAACACATTTGCACTGTGGTTTTTTAAAGGGGATGCTTTTGAATACATCAGGGCTTGTGTGTGTGTGCTACATGTATTTGCAGGACTTGTGAGGTCCTCCAGGCTGTGAGTGAAGATCAGAAAATATATTATGTGATGTCTCCCCCCACAAGGGGCTACGAGCCCAGAGACTTTGTGATTCTCGTGTCTCAAAGGCAACCCTGGAAGCCACAGTGAGTAGGGCTTTTGCATTTCACTGTGAGCACTTTGAGGCCACAGTTTTGGGTTCTGTTGATCTTCTCCTGTCATTGGGGGACAAAGATTTTATTTTTTAAGAAGCTAGATTAGTATGTTGGTGCCTGCGTTTGTACAACCGGATTTGTTTTGCGACATGAAGGTGCAGTGAAGTAAATCCAGATCATCACAAATTTACAGCATAGTTCAGTATTGCTTCTCTGATGGTGACTCTTTGGGAGTGGTCTGTCTAGAGGGAAAATAGGCCAGAATTCCAAACGGGAAAAAATATCATGTCCCAGAAGGCCTGTCAGTGAGCTGAGACACTGAACTGGGAATGTCTTGTTATTTGTTTTAACTGACGTTGTAGTCCACTGCTTTTTATTTTATTTTTTTATTGGATTTCCTTTTGTTCTTGCATAATGAAACACAGGTAAATGGGACCATTTGGTGTTACTTATCCTTCTTTAGTCTCAATTTCTTTTCTTATATTCAGTAATTCTTCAAGGTAACAGTAAAAGACAGTGTTCCGTACTGTGCTTGCTTTCTACTCTCACATCAGGGGATTGAATGAGTTTGAATACCTTTGCTGGGGCTTCTTCTTAGTAAGGGCTGTTTTGTAAACATGGGTTGTGGAGAGCAGGATAAATTTAAAAAAGGACATGTTGTATGTGAGTGGTTGTTCTTTGGCTTTCCACAGAGGTCTGATAAAGCCTCAGTGAGACCCAGGAGAGCCCAGCCCTTCAACAAGTACAGGTGAACATACAGGAGCTTATTTACCTTCATATGAAAGGGACACCTTTGGTACAGCTGTGTATGTTGTCACTTCTGTGTATCTTTTTGGACATGAGAAGTGTTTGATGGTTCCTCTTGCCCACAGTGAACCCTACACCGTGGCTGTGAGGTTGGTGACCCTCAGGGCAGTGCCCCCATCCCCGGAGTTCTCCAGGAGTGAAGTCCTTTGTGCCGGGTTCCAGATACACACCAGCACGAGCAGCTCCTGTACCATGAGTGGCTCTGAGGGCTCATCTCTGCCTCCCTTCAGGGAGCATCACCTGTGCATGTCACTGACAATCTGTGAAGGCAACAGCAAAATACAAACCAAAAAATGGGTCTGTTCCCCCAGTCTGGTTGTGTGGAACCTGCCCTGCCCAACTTTGGCCAATCTGTCTGTCAGGAATGAGGTCTAAACTAGGCACTGGAGGTTGCTGTGCACCTCCAGAGTCATTTATTCACTCCTAAAACACACTTCTAGAAGGTGTGCATTAAACTGGTCTCTGGGGGTGTCCATTTCTTTTCACTGACTACAAAGGAAGTCCATGGAAAATAGTTCAGACTAAATTCCTAACTTTAACTTTCATATGCCAGAAATCACACAATCTGAATCCCATCTCTGGATGAGTGACAATGTTCTTTTCTTGTTCTTTTCCATGGGAAGGCCCAAACTTTTCCATTTAAGAAAACACATTTCTGGAAATATTCAGTAGCTCTCAGTGGCTGCAATTATTATTTTCAGGCAACAGCTTTGTTCACAAAGCACGTATATTTAACAGGGTATACATGTTTCTTGCTGCACTGCTCTGTACATCTACCTGCAGATGCTTGAGGATCTGAGAGCAGTGAGGACACTGAGATCACTGAAGTGCTGTGAAAAGACATGCTTTTTGCAAATTATTGCCTTTGGTTTCAGAAGCACTGTGTTTCTATTCACATCCATAAAAACTTTGATGCTCATCTAGGCTCTGCAAAATATCGCTAACTCTTGCAATCCACAGGCTTTTTTTGTCTCATTTTTTGTTCAAACAGGTGTGTTACTTCAATCAAGTGACATCAGGAGTGATGCCTTACTTAGCTGCAAATCTCGCCAGCTCATCAAAATCCATTGAAGACACAGCTTTGGAATGTATAAAGTTCTTGGAGATGAAAGGCTGCATGTACTAAAGTTAAAAACAGATTTCTGAGGGGACATCTGAAGATTATCCAGCAATTCTGGTTTAAATTCCTGCAAGTGTCTTGATCATTTTTCTACAGGTTACCTACGTTGCATCATGTAGCCAGTATTTGGCTTGAACCTGAGAATACCTTGTACAAGCATCTGCTATCAAGTTGAGCTTAGGCTTTAGGATCCAAATTCAATTTTTAATTTAAAAAAGATTAAGGGACAGATTCTGCTTTTGATTGCATTAATGAATTTTGTATAAATGGAAGCAGAACTTGGCTCAGTGGAGCTGTAGCTCATGAGACTGTTTCCCTGTTTTAATGTTATACTGTATGAAAAGGCATCCAAGCAGTTTTAAATCTGTAAATACCACCCCTTGTAACCTGCAAACCAGTGCTACCAAGTAGCTTTCCCTGTGCTCTGACCTGGCTGTCGAAGTCTTTGCACCCCCATTATTTATAAACTGATTACAGCCCATGTAAATTAGAGTTTGCTGCTTTTAATACTTGTCTGTTTATGTGTGACTTCCAATAAATTATTGTTTCTGAGGTTACAAATTCATCACAAATTTCATTACAGAATATCTGGGGTGCAGAATGGCTGCTCTGTAGTGGTGATGGGGACTGCTGGCAACCTCAGTGCCTGGCTGTAGAGCAGAACAGTAACTCTTTGATCCACTCCCTCGCAGATGAAAAGGGGGGATGTTTTCAGATTTTATTGTGGTGTGTGTGCTTTGTTTTCTGCTCTTATTTTTGCTTAAAAGAGCCTTGTTGAGAGGAATGAGTATGCTCATCAGCAGTTAGATCCTGGCATGGACAGGGATATGAGTGGGATCAAAGCATGAGCTGCAGGCCACTTGATCTCACTGCAGAATCACAACTGGTACAGGGAGAGCTCTCAGGGTCTGGCAGTGTTCCCACTTAAACACATCCTCAGTTCACCCTACAGCCAAACCAGAGCTCTCTTCAGGGATTCATAGGATACAGCACATTTTGCATATGGGAAGTGCAGCAGGAGAGACACCAAGGGAAGCCCTGGAAGCCCTCAGGGTGCCGCAACACCTGAGTCACCTGGGCTCTCCACAGGTGTGGTTTAGCTGGGGTACAAAGCCTTAGTGAAACCAGCTCTGTCTGCAGGGGCTGGTTGCTCTGTGCCACACATAGCTGTTCCTTCCACTTGGAATAGAGGCGGGGAGGCAGGTCCTGGGCTCTGGCTCTGGAGGGCCATCCACAGACCCAGATCCTGATTTTGGATCAGCATGGTCATCACGAGGGTGAAGTGCAGCTCCTCATTCTGGGGAGCAGGGACAGCCCCCCCAGGACATGGGAGCCACTGAGGCCCTGCTTGTCAACTCCTGGCTCAGCTGGCCCTGGGAAGGCCCAGATCCCTCCAGGACATGGGAGCTCAGCTCCCTAAGTCCTGCAGGGTGCAGGTGAGGGCAGACAGGCCCTGGGCTGGGCAGAGAAGCCTCCAAGATCCCAATTTTTGGTGAAGAGAGACACCTAATGTTGGCTCTGAACACAGGCAGTGGGGACAGAGCCTGGATGCTGCCTGCACCAAGCACTGTACATTTATTTACACCTTTACATGCAGCACCTTTTCCAGCTGCTTTTCAAACAGCTTTCTTCAGCTACACCCACCTCTGTGAAATCATCAGTGGGTGCATTTAAGGTGTAGTTTTGCCCAACAATTACTGAGGATTGCTCTGAGTGAGTTGAAGATTGACCCACAGCTCACCCCTGCTGCCTACACCAGCCCTCACTCGGATGTACTGGCAACGCTAGGACACTGAGTGTCTGTGGCTCCAGGTTCCTATGCATAAAAGAACAGGTTACAAAGCCAAAGAGTTGAGAAATTATCTAAAAAGATGCTTTTTGAACAATATATTTAATTCATAGAATAGAAAGGGTAACATTGGGATGCCCATTGCAAAATATCACATAGAAGTGACACTGCTTTGAGCTTTAATCTAATAGCTAATTAAAACTCTGTAATTAATTCTTGATTTCATTCACATCCACTCTCCTTCCCCATTTAAATGTGTGCTCTGATGAATACAAACTGAATATACACCCCCCAATCTCAGTCAACTTAGTGCGCCCTTGTCTCCACAGCAGAACCAGGAAACCTAAAATAAGAGCTCTAACCATTATATTCTTTAGCAGCATTTTTATTAAAAATAATTAACATGTACAAATATAAAATATATCCGCACAATTTAACTCCCCATATTTGTCTTTTGCTTCAAGAAAAGCTCGTGAGAGGAGCTCAGGGTGCTCTTCTCCAGTAGCACAAGATGCTGCGAGAACTCTCTTTTGAGTTGTTTTCCTAACTTTTCTTTAATATGCCTCAGTTTTTCTAAGGCTGCAGTCTCCATTTAAAAACAGTAGGTCTGCCAGCTAGCAGGAGGTGTAGTATACATTCCCAACTTGCCAAGGGATAGAAACAATGAAGATTTTTGAGCATTTTCCTTGAAAAAAAGTAAAGAAACTAAGCAAACTTCTCACTTGTTCTCCAGCTCTTTTCAGGTGTTTTTCACCACAGGTATCAAAGGCAGGGCATGATTCTGTTTGTTACTGAACAAATAAACAATCCAACATGCACTAACAATCAAGTTAATGATTGTTAATTACAACCACGAGTAGCAGGTATTGCACCCCCAAGCTAGACAGGCCGTAGGGTTTACCTGTAACTTCACCACAAGAAGTTACATATGTGCCAAGCTGGCACATATAGAGGAAAAAATCAAGTTATTCCTAAAAGGAGAAGGCAAAACCAAGCCAGAACCCAACAAGAACCTTTAAAAAGTACCCAGAATCCCTTTAGTAAAATACCCACTTGGTGTATTTCTGTTGTTCCTAGCTTTTCAGGGAGCTAGGGGAGTCTGGGAGGCAAACTGGAAAAATGAAGGGAGACAAAAAAATAACAATTCAGCAGCACTCTGCTTGATTTTTTGGAACTAGCTCTCTGTAGTCACTCTTCTGCAGCAAAGCAGCAGTGAAGGGCCAAGAGACCTTCAAAAAGTCACAACTTTGGGTACTTTGGCTTTTGGCTTCTGCAGCTTTGGTGCTTCAGTGACTTCCTCATGGTCTGCACTCATTCCAGAGACCCATCGCCCAACTGTCAGCTGCTCTGCAGGGGGACACAGAGGGTGGGGAAAGGCTCAGCACTGCCAGCATCAAACCTTCACACCTGGGCAAGGCTGGGCCCACGAGGGCAACAAATCAAATCATACCAAGAGTATCGCACAGATAAACTCAAGTTTATATTAAAGCAGGCCCGATCAACCCACCTGAAAAAATTACAGGCTGCAGTGCCTAAACCTCTTTGCCAGCTGTAATTATTCCTGTAGTCTAAAAGTACTCTGCATGATGCAAACTGATTTCACAGAATATCACAGTTCTTACCAACGGTGTCACAGTTCCAATGAATTCAACCGGTTTTAACCAGCAGTACCAGTTTTGAAACACCAATGTAAGGACAAAGATCTCCCTTGACAAACTGAACAGCACTAGTGAGTCTTCGTTGTGGATGTAAAACTTAAGCAGAAAGAGGTAGAAAAGAATTGCTCACAGGCTTTCAATGCAGCAGTCACCTGGGTGGGCACTGCCCAACTATCTGCTGATGAGTTTGGGGAAATTTATTTAAGAGTCTTTTTGTGTTAGAAACTTCTCTTCAGACTCAACCCCACCCACTCTAAGCTGGCTAAGCAGCATGCACCTAGAATGCCACATTTCATGTAACAGATCTAACAATATCATATATGTAAGATTAGATACAGAAAATGCCTCTACTGCGTCCATAAATATTTCTTACATAAATTTTCACCAAAGTGGCTTACTATTAACCCAGAAGTTCTAAGCACCATAAAAACTAAGTAGAAAAAATCACAGATGTTGTCACCACTTCAAGTGGTAACAGAATCATTCTTCAAACCCTTTTTTGATGCTTTTGCCTCCCTGAGCACAGTGGGGCTTTGGGGTGCTTTATATAGTTTTAACACCCACACTGGAAAACTGAAGAACATGTAAGAAAGCAGCTCATTAGCTGTGGATCCAACCGGACACACATCCTGTCTCCTCCTTCTCCCCCATCCCTGACACACCTGCCTGCACACACCACCACCTTGCACCTGACACTGTGTTCACTTCCACCACCTCACATTGGAATCATCAAAAATCAGCAGCCAGTCTAGTTACACAGCTGCCAAGCTATGAACAGCAGCACAAACACTGGCAAAAAAAATACAGATTATCTCATATCACCTTTGGCAACACACAAGATAACTTTCTGTTAAACAAGAACTATCTTAGTTTTGCACTGCAGTTTGCTGCCTTCCTCCACACACCCCTGAATATCAGCACTCATTCCCAAAGAAAGGTCACCTTTGCTGTTCCAAGTTCTCCCAAACCCTTTTTCCTGACCGAGGTAAGGCAAACCAGTAAATGGATGCTGCTGGCCTCAAACTCCACCCCACAGTCTCCTGCAGCTCACCTGCGTTCTGTTTCTCTGGGCAGTCCTTTTTGAAGTGCTCCACAGAGCCACAAAGTTTGCAGCCCCCACCTGTTCACAGAGAAAGTTGTTATTCACAAGGAAAACAAAAACCAGCAAACCACCCAACAAAATGCCTCCCTCCATGTCTCTGAGGGGCAGAGCTGCTCGTGATCTGCTTGTGTACTGCTCTGTACAGAACCACATACCATTTCTGATTTATTGGAAGCTCTCTTTTTGAGAAACCAGCTGCATTCTGCCAAAATTCATACTCAAAGGAACTTTTGAAGTTGACAGGAGCCCCTGAGCGGTAGGTAATCCAACGGCAGGAACTGAGATATGAAATTTAAATTCTACTCCTAATCCAAACATTTGAAAGCAAAGTGATTCTTCTCCCACTTCCACTGTGCTGCAAGATCACCCTTTGGAATTTGCCAGACACCACGTTTGTACTGGGGAAACAGGTTGCTGGTTGTTGGTGCCAATAGGGAAGTCAGGAAGAGCAGAATATGAGTGAAACCTTCAAACTTAGATCCTATTTCTCATTAAAGTCACTCAAAACAAAGATATCCTTCTTCTAGTGAGAGCCTGTGATTTGCCACCTCCCAAAATCTTAATAGGGTGTCAGTATATTTTTACCATCTAATTTGGTGCATGTACATGTAAATATACACTGACTACAACATGATTTTGTTTCCTTGTGTATCTCTTTATATTGAAGCACAAGCAAATTCTCACACTTTGCACCTCATCTCATTGTTTAACTCTAAGCTTACAATTAAAACAGAAATCCCCAGGTAATTAACTGACAATGAATTCCCTAGAATTACTCTGCTTTCACCAAAAAAGACACAGAAATTCCATTTAGTCAAGTCTTCATTCACTTGCAATGTTACTTTGCTCTGTATCAGGTAAGAACGACACAGAAATTAGATTTTACTTAATTTAGTAAATCAGCACACTCACCTTCAGCATACAGTCCTTTGGGATTATCCGGACACGACCTTGACAGGTGCCCCATCTCACCACAGATGAAACATTTTGCATATGGAAATGGCCCTGCAAAATCCCAAAGGGTTTATGATGCACATCAAAACCTTTGCAAAGCCACAGACTGAACACAGTGTGATGACAATATCTTACTCACTTTATGTACAAAACACGTCAGGTTTCTCATTATCATATTGCAAGAGTTAAATTACTAACACAAAAAGCTGCTGTTTCTGTAGTCAGACAACTCAGATCAAAGTTCCTCAAAACACCACAAATTTCTGAGACCCACCACTGGCTGGATCCACTTTGGCTCTGCATTTGCTGATGTCATGTTCCGTGGATCCACACCGGTAGCAGATGCCTGTCCCCATGTCTTGGCTTTCAAGGACTGCAGGACAGTCAGCCACGCCGTGCCCAGGTTCTCTGCAGTGGAAACACACCTTTGAAGAGAGAAATTCAGTGATTCTGTGAGTGGCAACCAAAGACCTGCAAATCCCAGCATTACAGGGCCTAAAAGGCAAACACACCAAGGGATTTTCTCCTCAGGGAAAGACAGCCATGAAAGGAGACTTTTTGTGCTCTGCCACACAACTGTGAGTGCTCTGTGCCATCAAACCACATTATCATGGGCATTTTTCTCCCTTTAGTAGCAACACAGTTTGGGGCATTCACCCACTGACAATTGCGCGCCCTGGACCATGGAATCATGGAATGCTTTGGGTTGGAAGGGACCTTAAGGCCCATGTCATAACACCCCCCGCCATGGGCAGGGACACCTGCCCGCTTGTTCCAAGCCCCATCCAACGTGGCCTTGGACACTTCCAGGGACTTCACTTTATTCACCTGAAGCCTCACCTAGACATGCTGTGTCCCCTTGGGAGGTGAGGACTGAGCTCTTCACTGAGCCCCTCTGGCAGCACCGGCACAGGGAGAGGGATCTGCACCTCCCACACAGGGGTTTTCCTGGAGGTTTAACAACGTTGGGGGAAAATGACTGGAGGTAATAAGATAATGGTATGGAAATTATAGGGGAAAATAGGGTTGCCACTCCCTGGACTGACCACCCCCCCAGCACAACACAATCCAAGGGGGACTAAAGGGAGGGTGGAGACCCCATGGCTGCTGTGGAGCCCTTGCAAAAGAGGGAACTTGATGGTACCTTTTAGTTGATAAGCCACACAGCAGCTGAAAACCAAGTGAGATAAAGGACCATGTCCTGCTGTTCAATCAGCAGCCCTGGTGAAATCCCTCTCCTTGGGCTGACCGTGTTCCCACTCCAAAGCCACCTCAGGTACTGGACTGAGATACCCCCCCTCAGGGTATGACTACCCCTCACTGATTAAGCTGTGTGAGTAAAGTCACTCAAGCTCCCCCTAAACATAAAGAAGTACTATAAAAGTAAGTTAAGAACGAGGAGAAGCTTGGGAAGATTCCAGTCTAACTTTTGGGATCAGTCGATGGACTGAACCTCTCTCTGCCCCATAGGGACTCCCTGGGTAAGAACCGCGCTCTGTGTGTGCAGAATCACTACCTCCAGGCAGCTCTTATTAGTGATTAGAATTTGCTTTGAATTCATATTTCGTTTTGAATTAGTAAATTGCTTTGAATACATCTCTGCAGCCAGACACTATCACCGGCAATCCCTGAACCTGTCACAACGATATTAACAAAGGGTGTTATTCTGCACAGTGTTGTTGTGAGCCCTCCAAGGGCTCTGGCAGACCGATCAAACATAAGAATTTAAGGGAATGTCCCTCTTCTGCGTGGCACAGGACTCACCATGGCGTTCTTCCTTCTCTCCTGCCTCCTCACCCTCCTGCTCTTCCGCCGCCGGTCCTTCCTCAGCGCCTCCTCCTCCTCCTCCTTCTGCTGCTGCTTCCGGTGCGCCAAGAACCCGTTCACGTCCTCGCTCACATACTCCTTCTTCTTCCTCCTCTTCCTCCTCTCCTTCTCCTCCTCCTCATCCTTTCCCGGCCCCCCCATCTCTTCCCAGGGGGTCGCGTCCAGCGCCCTCGCCCCGGGCGGGATGTTCCGCCGCGCCCAACGGGTCATGGATGGAGGAAGTGGAAATGGGGAGTGGAAATGAAATGGGGGGTCCCGCAGGGTCCCGGGAGCAGGACTCGCCGCTGAGCAGAACCCGGCAGCGCCGGGTGATGACGATACGGAAGAGGGAGGAGGAAGAGGAGGAGGGGGACTGGTGGGGGGGGGAGAAGGCGGAGCCCCTGGGATCAGGGGGAGGTGGGGAATGGTGGTGGGGAAGGAGGAGGAGGAAAAGGGGGACCGGGACCGGGACCGAGACCGAGACCAAAGAGGAGGGGGAGCCCCCCGGGACCGAGATGGAGGTAGAGATGAAGGAGCAGGACCAGGATCGGGGGGAGAAGGAGATGGGGATCCCGGACCGAGGGGAACGCGCCGTGTCAGGGGGGCGGGGACTGCGAGCGGCTCATCCCATCCCACCCCCTGCCATAGGCAGGGACACTTTCCACTAGCTCAGGTTGCTCCAAGCCCCGTCCATCCTGGCCTTGGACACTTCCAGGGATGGGGCAGCCACAGCTTCTCTGGGAAATCCATTCCAGCCCCTCACCACCCTCACAGGGAAGGATTTCTTCCTAGTATTCCGTCTAACCCTGCCCTCTGGCAATGGGAAGCCAGTCCCCCTTTTCCTGTCCCTCCATCATGGGATGGAGTCCCTCTCCAGGTCTTCTGGAGCCCCATTAGGCACTGGAAGGGGCTCTAAGGTTTCCCTGGAGCCTTCTCTTCGCCAGGTAAACACCCCCAGTTCTCCCAGCCTGGCTCCAGAGCAGAGGGGCTCCAGCCTTGGGACCATCTCCGTGGCCTCCTTTGGACTCGCTCCAGCAACTCCATGACCCTTTGCTGTTGGACCCCAGAGCTGGAGGCAGCTCTGCAGGTGGGGTCTTACCTGAGGACTGGAAGGAGTCCCAGAAGCTGCTGCCCCTGTGCAGGTGTGATGAGGGAAGGCAAACTGCTCGCTGGAGGCTCACAGAGCACATGTCCAGGACTGTGTTGTTGGAGGATGCTACTCAGCATTTTAAATAAATGTTTGTAAACCCAAAAGACGTTCTGTTTCCCCCTCAAGTCAGTCTTCTGTTTCTTGTATTTTTAGCATTGCACTAGATCTCCATGACATATCCTGGTGGTCTTGAGTTGATCTTATAAGGATATTTATGTTATATATATTATATAAAAGATATTATATATTCTTCAGTAATTATCCTTAATACTTTTCTCTCCCTGGGTAAATGGCCGTATTTTGTCGTTTTTCAGTGGTTTTGAGCCCACTAGAGGGAGATGTGCACAAAGTGTCTTTTAAACTGCATCGCTACCACTTATAACGAGCATGGATTTAATAACAATTAGCCTTGACTGCAGGTAAAAATAATTGATGAACGCCGTTTAAGAGCCACTGTTCAGGAAACAAAAACAGGGGAAAAAATCAGTATTACTTTTAATTTAAAATTAATCTCGTTTGCTGATATAGTTACAGGTCAACCACAGGATGAGGTCCCAGTTGTTCTGCAACTTGCTCTGCTGAAATGCTAAATGTGTTGTCTGTTCTTTTTCAGCCTGGAATTTTATGTGTTTGTGTCGAGGCAGGAGCAGCTGCCCTTAAGATCCCCGACTGAGTTTGTAGACAGTGGAAAAGGGTGTTTAATATGTTTCAGCCAAATAAATAAGGCATTATTTCCCCCACAAAATCACTTAAATTTGACAGTGGCCACACCTGTTTAAATTTTCACTGGTTTAGGTTTGTTCCAGTTTGGCATTCCAGTTTGACATTGGGAGCTCACCTGTACCCAGGCACCAGGTGAGAAATGAGCAAAACAGCAGCCATGCAAATAATTGTAACATTTTTGCCATTTTTTTTCATATTTTCCTAAGCAAATTACCTGTCCACAGCACAGTGTTCATATCTTTGTAATCCCCAAAGCCCAAAAATGGAGGTTTTGTCTGCTGAAGAGGTACCAGAAGCTTTGGTTGTGCACACACAATGTTCACTGGGTTTTGCCTGTGTGGTTTTGATATTTAATGCCACTTGCCAGAGTACCAGGATGACATTTTTGTGGTTGCTTTAATTTTGATTTGATGGAGAGAAAGTAAACATAAAGCCTGTTTCCTCATAAATTCTTTTATGTCTGCAGTATTTAAGGACATCGAGGCACTGGGTCAATTAGTTAATGGAACAGGAGCACAGGTGGTGTTTGCCTCAGTTCTTGCAGTAGCAGAGATGAATGAGGAGAGGAGTAGGAAAACCCGTCTTATCAATAGGTGGCTAAAGGATTGGTGCCACGAGCAGAATTTTGGGTTTTCTGATCATAGGGCAAATTCTGTGGTACCAAGCCTGCTAGAGCCAGGTGGGCTTCATCTATCTAGCAAGGGTAAAAGGACTCCAGCCCATAAATTGGCAGGGCTGATCAGGAGGGTTTTAAATTAGGTTTGAAGGGGGAAGAGGTTGAAACCAGGCTCTCCACAGATGAGCCTAAGGGTAAAAGCCAGAGTTAGAAGTGAAATCAGCAGCCCAGCTCAAGTGCATGTACACCAATGCACGCAGTGTGGGTGACAAACAAGAGGAGCTGGAAGCCATCGTGCAGCAGGAAAGCTGTGCTGTAGTCGCCACCACGGAGACATGGTGGGATGACTCACATGACTGGAGTGCTGCCATGGGTGGCTACAAGCTCTTCAGAAGGGATAGACAAGGTAGGAGAGGTGGAGGGGTGGCTCTGTATGTTAGAGAGTCTCTTGACTCTGTAGAATTTGAAGTCAGTAACAAAAAGGTTGAGTGCCTGTGGATCAGAATCAGGGGGAAGGCCAACAAGGCTGACATCCTGGTGGGAGTCTGTTACAGACCACACAACCAGGATGAAGAATTATTCTACAAGCAGCTGGCAGAGGTTTCAAAATCACCAGCCCTTGTTCTTGTGGGTGACTTTAACCTGCTGGATGTCTGCTGGAAACTCAACACAGGGGAGAAGAGGCAGTCTAGGAGATTCCTAGAGTGTATAGAGGATAATTTCCTGCTCCAGCTGGTAAATGAACCTACCAGGGGTGGGGGCCCGCTAGACCTGCTGCTCACAAACAGAGAGGGGCTGGTGGGAGATGTGGTGGTCAGAGGTTGTCTGTGGCACAGTGACCATGAAGTAATCCAGGGAAGCAAAGAAGGCCATCAATAAAACTTCTACCCTGGACTTCTGGAGGGCAGATTTCAGCCTACTCAGAAGGCTGATTCAGAGGTTACCTTGGGAAACAGCCCTTGAAAACAAAGGGGTCCAGGAGAGATGGACATGCTTCAAGAAACAAGTCTTGAGAGCACAGAAGCAGGCTGTCCCAGTGTGCCAAAAGGCGAGCTGGTGGGGAAGACGGCCAGCCTGGTTGAACAGGGATATTTGAAGGATATTAGGGAAAAAAGAGAGCTTACTGATTGGGGAAAAAAGGGCTGGCTACTCATGAAGAGTTTAGGAATATAGTTAGTTCATGTAGAAAGAAAATTAGAGAGAGAAAGGCACAATTTGAACTCAATCTTGCCACTCCTGTTAGGGATAACAAGAAGTGCTTCTACAAATACATCAGTAGCAAAAGAAGGGGCAAGGAAAACCTCCATTCTTTGTTGGACATAGGGGGGAACATAGTCACCAAAGATGAGGTAAAGGCTGAGGTACTTAACACCTTCTTTGCCTCAGTTTTCAACAGTAAGACAGGTTGTCCTCAGGACAACTGGCCTCTGAAGCTGGTAGACAGAGACAGGAAGCCAAATAGCCCCCCTGTAATCCAGGAGGGAACAGTTAGTGACCTGCTGAGCCACTTGGATCCTCACAAGTCTATGGGACCAGAGGGGATCCATCCTAGGGTGATGAGGGAGCTGGTGGAAGAGCTTGCCAAGCCACTCTCCATCATCTACCAACAGTCCTGGCTCACTGGGGAGGTCCCAGATGATTGGAAGTTGGTGAATGTCACACCAATCCACAAAAAGGGCTGCAAGGAGAACCTGACAGGCCTGTCAGCCTGACCTCAGTGCCTGGCAAGGTTATGGAGCAGATAATCATATGTGAAATCACACAACACCTGCAGGATGGACAAGGGATCAGACCCAGCCAGGATGGGTTTAGGACGGGCAGGTCCTGTCTGACCAAACTGATCTCCTTTTAAGATCAGGTGACCCACCAGGTGGATGAGGGGAAGGCTGTGGATGTGTCTACCTGAACTTCAGCAAAGCCTTTGACACCATCTCCCACAGCACACTCCTGAAAAAGCTGCAGCCCAAGGCTTGGACAGGGGCACTCTGTGCTGGGTTAGGAACTGGCTGGAGGGCTGAGCCCAGAGAGTGGTGGTGAACGGTGCTGCATCCAGTTGGCAGCTGGTCACTAGTGGTGTCCCCCAGGGATCAGTGTTGGGCCCAGTTCTGTTTAATATCTTTATCAATGATTTAGGTGAGTGTACCATTAGCAGATTTGCAGATGACACCAAGTTGGGGGGGAGTATTGATCTGCTGGAAGGCAGGAGGGCTCTGCAGAGGGACCTGGACAAGCTGGAGAGATGGTCTGATTCCAGTGGGATGAGGTTCAACAAGACCAAGTGCCGGGTCCTGCACTTTGGCCACAACAACCCCCTGCAGCGCTACAGGCTGGGGACAGAGTGGCTGGAGAGCAGCCAGGCAGAAAGGGACCTGGGAGTTTGGATTGACAGGAAGCTGAACATGAGCCAGCAGTGTGCCCAGGTGGCCAAGAAGGCCAATGGCATCCTGGCCTGGATCAGGAACAGTGTGACAAACAGGACCAGGGAAGTGATTCTTCTCCTGTACTCAGCACTGGTGAGGCCACACCTGGAGTGCTGTGTCCAGTTCTGGGCCCCTCAGTTCAGGAAGGATACTGAGGAAGGTCCAGAGAAGAGCAATGAGGCTGGTGAAGGGACTTGAGCACAAGTCCTATGAGGAGAGGCTGAGGGAGCTGGGGTTGTTTAGCCTGGAGAAGAGGAGTCCTAGGGGAGACCTCATCACTCTCTTCAACTCCCTGAAAGGTTGTGGCCAGGTGGGTGTCAGTCTCTTGTCCCAGGCCACTAGCAGTAGGACATAGGGGCACAGTCTTAAGCTGTGCCAGGGGAGGTTTAGCTTGGATATTAGGAAGAAATATTTCACAGAGA